AGATTTGATGAATTTTCCAAAACTATGTAGTTGATCTAAAGGAACTTTTAAATCCTTGAGCGATTTTAGATCACACATATAAAGAAGATAATTTGTAAAAATAACTCCTTGTTGATTACTTTGCTTGCAATAATAACGTGACATTTGTCCAAATTCACCGTTTCTCTCTTTGGTTTCTCTGCATAATTCTATCAGAGTCGTATAGCCAAAACAGTCTTTTTAGCCTTTGTTAGTGTTTTACAAGTCTTTTTTGACAACCATTTCGTCTATTTCTTGACTAAGATTTGAAAATCTGTTTTGATGCCGGCTCCATTTTGTAAACAGTCGAAAGCAGCAAAAACCATTMCCGCCTTTACAAACTTTTACTCGACGCGAGGCGGCCTTTTCCCGCCAATGGCCAAGCGGTCAACAATCGTCAAACTGTTGACCGATCAGTCAACAGTTGATTTTAGCTCCGGACACGTGACCCCGAATCGTCCAATAAGAGAGCGAGAAAACAGTGAAAATAATTTACCAATATAACAATCATTCTTGATTTGCACTGAAATCAAATATGACTGATGAAATACGGACAGAGCGGGTGGACTGCCAAACCTTCTTTAGCCTACGTAAATCCGATAAATCCGACCAAGTTAATGTAGCAGTATGACAAACGATGATTTCCAAAGAATTGTAAAAACAAAGGTGGCAAAAAAGTGCTTTATTTGTAATTATTCATGAGAATATTTATTTCATTAAAGTGATTCCCATGGCTAAAACATTCTCTATATTATTCTGGATTTCATAAAAACTAAGCGCTTTTCATTTGGACCGAGTTGACTGTTAAGACCAGTCCAATTTGAAGTAAATAATGCCTTTTGTTCAGAGTTTTCAGTACCTTTTCGACTTTAATTCCATTATACAAATGGATAAAATTAAGAAACTGATCGTAATTAGCAGCTCTGATTCAATAAATTGAATTTTTCTTTGCCTTTCTTGGCTGATAAGTTCYGACAAATTGAAAGCGCTCCACCTCTTAGTTCTATGGGTTATTTGGACTGCTTTCGGGTCGTAAAAATGCTTTCTAGCCAAACAGTGTTCTCATTTTTATCGGAGTACCATAGGAGTCACATGATTTGCATATTATTTAGGTTTGAGAACACAAGGTGTTAGCGATCTCAACGCTATTACACCGTTGATTCATTACCCTAAGGTTAGCACCATGTACCTTCCGCGAAAGTGATCCTGCTGTGAAAGCAATCCCCGCCTGCACAAAGTACACATGAACCAAATGGCCCGTAAAAAGATCCCTGTCCAGGAAATGATCAAGAATGTAAGCAAGCCATATCTGGCATGGAATCTGTTTTTCAATTCACTGTTTATTAATTATTTTATTTGTAATTTTCGAGTATATCGGAGTATGAGCATTTATGTACACAGTTGATTAAGAAAGTAAACAAAATCATCTTGAAATTGATTGGGTTCCCTGTGGTTTGTTCATCGCTTTACACAAACACTGATATCAGCCTGACGCGCAGCCATATAAATGCTACTAATTTTTGAGATTTCCTTAAATGACAATAAAGACATATGTTAGATTTTTGTGAATCCATAGAAAGCACAGAGTGCTCAACTTTAATGAGCACTATTTGATTACGTGCATGCGCTCAAATAAATCTGAATGGTACTTTGTGTTGCAGGAGCGACGATTTTTTGTATTAATGTTGCATTGTTGTTCACTGCTTTCCCAATGATACTCGTATTACCCTCCAGGCACCTTTCCGAAGTTCTTCAATCCTCCAAAAGTAAATTATAGGATTGACAAAGCTGTTCAAAACGAGTATATGTTCAGTGATAATATAAATAAGAAAGCCGTTCCGGTTTTCTAGAACATCTAGTGAAGCTTGCCTTTTGACAAAGTAGAAAATGTAAGGTAAGTGAGAAACAATCAAAGCAACGATAATGATATACATCGTATTGATTGACTTCTTTAAACGTTGAATGCTTAGCGTTTCTTCTACATTTTGATGCTGGACTTGAATCTGACTCGAATGCTTTCGGATGTTCCAAAAAGTTATAGAAACACTGTAAATAGCTATGGCATTCGAAAAATAGAATGCAATCAAGATGTATCCAAGTAATTCGTTTTTAAAAGTATAAATTGTCCCAATTGTAAAGCCGTATATCCATATTACAATAGATGCACAAACATATCGTTTGCTGGTTATAAGTTCTTGGTATCTTAAATGGAGGCGAATTGCTAAGAACCGATCCATTGTAAGCAACGTTAAATGCATTGCAGAAATGGGAAAAATAAACCATCCAAAAAAACCATAAAGTATTGAAATACAGCAAATATGTTCAAAATCATTTTCGTGTGTGACGAAGATACTTGTCAAATGAATCGGCTGGACAAGGAGACCAACAGTTAAATCTGCTATTGATAGACCAAGAATAGTACAGTTGGACGGCGTTTGCAAAGTTGGAGTTTTAGCAATGGTGTAAATAACTAGTAAGTTACTGCATACAATTAAGAACCACGTGAAAGTACCAGCCACCAGCGCCACAAGCAAAGTGATGTGCGTCAAATCATTTTCCCTAGAAAACTGAAGAAACGACTTTACCTTTGAACAATTCATTGATGCGTAAGTGCCTTCTTCGCTTTTTTCAGCGTTAATAAACTGCATGTTATTTGGATGCAGTTACTTCAATCTCAATTTAAACTCTGAAGATTCCTTTGAAGCAAAATTCCTTCCAGCCCTTCCAATGGGTATATGAAGCCAATGAATGATTTTCATCAATTGGGAATATAAAAAGCAATCATTAAACCGATCTTTAGACTTTGCCGACTGATGGTAATTGTTCAACTAAACCGAGAAAAATATTCCAACTGAAACTGAAAATTGATTAAACCTAAGACCGTTTATTACATGGGCTTCCTGTGGAAGACCATGTCTAAAATTACCGACGACTTTCCTTCAACATGCTTCAAAGTGGTATATCCGGGACCTTTTCTATTGTGTTATTGTCATTCATGTTTCTAAGCAACGATTCTAAGCTTGCCTTGTGCTTCATGTTTAAGGATCGTTTAGAGATAGAAATCACGGATCTATTGTAGCTACTACAAATACGCTCAAATCTCTTACAAATCCACGTGTCATTCGCGGTATAGAAACACTAAATGATGCCGAGCGTTTTTCGAAAGGGCATTTGTAGGGATACCGTGAATTGATCGTGAATCTTCCTATCGTGAATAAGCGAATTATATAATACGGCTCTGCAATCAGAAAAGACTATCTAAGGAATGCAAACAGTGTTATACTAAGGAAAATGAAATGATTGGAAGTATTTTAAGCGTAGAACATGAAAGACTATCGACCTGTGTTTACGAGGAATGGTTCGTCAAACATACTTACTTCTTTACTGCTATAAAGTACACTGCTTGTTTTATTATTTTTCATTAAAAGAAATATTTTTGCTTTAGTCTTAGTAATATTAACTTTATTAGGGCTCAATATAATACAATTCTTCGATTACAATAAAACTATTGTCACTGTGACTGACTGCTTCGTTTGTTGATTGTGATACCACAGGAAGCCCATGTAAACGATCGCTGATCGTCTAGTTTACTTTTAATAAGTATAGAAGTACATATGTTCGAAATTTGACAAATCAACCTATTGAATATACAATATAATTTTATTTTATTGATTATTGATTATTTTTTAATTACAACCTGCAAATACAATCATTCTATGATAGTTCATTGTTTATAATTTATTGAATTGTCCATCAACTTTAACGTGCAAGTAAATTAAAAGTAACTAGACCCTGTATGCAGGATTCACGTACCCTTGTTGTACATGTTGTGAAATCATTAGTAGTGAGGCCTTAAAAAAAACCTTAATAATACAAAATAAAAAAATGATTTGATCCTTCCAGTTTTGCCAAGATATACATGATTTCTGCGATAAGCTTATATATGTGGTGGCTCTTAAAATTTCACCTGTACCCGCCTTTGTGATTCTGCAGTATAATTTTAAGGTCAGATATATTAAAACTAGGTATGATTTGGTTACAACGTGACGCTTTATTAACTTTTTGTTATGTGATGGTTATAAAACAATAGTAGTAAGCGTGTTGATCTCTGTAGTGCCGAGATTATCATAATTCGACATACCCTTGGTGCGAACACCCAGACAAGTAATGAGTGACAGATTTTGGTCGTAAACCTTCATGTTCTGTCCCATATTCGTTAGTAGAGACAATGTTCATCAAAATGGCGGATCAAAAGGCCGATTTAGACGAAACAACAGTTTTGCTTACAACCATCGCATGCAACCTGCGTAAGTCATCCTTACGACATGKCTACAACTGTCGTWGKGRTTTYAARMAATTGCTTAATAGCCTCACGACAGTTGTAGCCATGTCGTAAGGATTACTTACGCAGGTCGCATGCGATAGTTGTAGGGAAAAGTTGTGTCGTCTAAATTGGCCTAAACAATGTGCAGACCGGTATGTGCACAACGAGTCGAAAATGGAGCGAAAGGGATTATGGACAGGCTATAGCGTTCGGACTTTGTTATGTAAAAGGATAAATATAACACCTTTAAAAAAATTGGTGAAACAACATACTTACGTTTCGGATGTTAATCTTTCGTCGGAGTAAAGAGATGAAACTAGGCTAAGTAAGAGTTTATATAGATAAAACTTGTTTAACACAGAATACAACATCCAGCTAAAAAGCTGCTTTACAGGATGTCCACAACTAAACGAACTAAATAATGAATAAAAATATGGATTAATATAAGTCAAAACATAAAAAATAGAACCTTGCTGGGGCTACAGACATTATCTGTGCCGGTGTCGCTTGAGACTAGTTTCGATTAAAAAGTATGCGCGAAGCATTTCTAAACTCCTCTATTCGCCAGTAATAAATCACTGGGTTTATACAGCTGTTTAAAAGTATAAGACCTTCCGTTATTCTATATGAAATCATAAGAACCGCAGAAAGTCTACCTGCGGCTGCCATTGCTCCACTTAAAATAACATAAGGTAAATAACACAACACAAAGGCAACGATTATAAAGTACATGACTTTGAGAGATTTCTTCATTTCTGACATGTTGCTATTTGATTGTGTGCTTCGGTGTTGTGCTTGGATTTCCGTTGAGTGACGATGTGCAGTTCTATATATTTTCAAAAGAAAATATATATTCATAAGGGAAGCAACAAAAAGTACAATGAAATGAGCCCTTAGGGTAGTGTCCCGGTTAACAAACACCAAAATTAAACCAGCCAGTAGACTATAGCACCAAGCGAACACAAGAGCCATACATACGCGATTGTTTGTGACGTATTCACGATACCTGAATGAAAATCATATGTACATGAAAAAATAGAAAATAATAAACGAAAAAATCTCTGTATACATACAAATAAAGTCAACTCATAAACAGACGCAAATATGAAAAACATCCATACCTCATGTGATAATGAAGAGCTAAAAATCGATCAGATGTCACAGCAGTCAGTGTTAACAGAGAAACTGATGCCAGAATCGTTGAAGTAGACCAGAATATCTTAACTAAAGTGCAGAACCTTGGGATATCTTTAAGAAAATCAGCAAGTTGCAATATCGCTAAACATGGATAAGCAATAATGCCAGCAAAAAAATCGGAGATGGCCAAACCAACTATCAGAACGTTAGAAGGTCTATGAAGTGATGATGTCTTGAGAATAGTGTATATAGCTGATAGATTGCTAAGCGTAGCAAAAATACCAAGTAAAATACAGAGGACGATTCCTGTTATCAATCCCACACGGTATAAAGAGTTGTGTTGTATGTTGAGCGTGGATTGAAATCGGGGGCAAGGTTTCGCGAAGAAATGGTCGGATTCGTTAGTCGTATTGAGCGCCATGAAGGGAAGATTACTGTAGATGAATAACACTGATTCGATTGTAAGATCTACCACTGATCACGTGATCATAAACAGCACAGTTATAGTCCAAGGCCGTCCAACATACAAAATATAATCAAAGAATACTAAAGCTGTTTTATTACAATAAAAGAAAAACAATTCTGATCATTATAGAGGAAAAGTAGTTTATTTGAAAAAACTAGGAGGCAGTCAAGATTCGTAATCAGGATAATGAAAGTTTTAATAAAGGTCAATCGAACCCATATCAATAAATATAAAGATCACTGTGCGATGTGCAAACATAATAAAGATGGTACTATCGTTTAATAAAATTTTTAATAATTAAGGCGCAATAATGATTATTTGTAGCTGAATTTCAAATGTTATTTGGGATTAGATCAGAATATTCACTTTGTCATAGTTTATCCTATTGTTCTTTGTTTGTACTATATCACAGATTGAGGTTTGATATTATATTGCTACCCTAATTTAAAAATTTTGATGGAAAATATAATATAACAATGTTTCGTGCTTTCTTTTGTTTTCGTTAAGGTTTTTGGCGCCAAAGAATCTGTTGTCAAATAAAACAACTCTAACAGAAATATTCCTTGACCTCATTATTATTAATTGAAAACTCAATGAAACAATAAAGACATAGTAAATTGCATAAACAAACCTAATAAGGAAAAAGATAATTACTTTGCAAGAAAACGATCAATTGCATAAATCATGAAAAAGGAAGTATATCACATAGTCCCCTACGGCAACACTCTCTTGAAAGGTATAGTCGTAGCTTTTCCATCGAGTGAGACGACCGTTAGACATGCAATGATAACTACTGGTGAATAATTGTTTGTAGGCGTGAAAGGAGGTCTCTATTTCTATCAGTGTACGCTCAACGACCGTCTCGCATCGATGCAAAGTTACGAAGCCCTACCTTTCAAAATTGCGTCGGTGGCCGCGAAGGAGACTATTATCTAATACATTTAAATACGATGCGTGTAGCATTTCTAAACTCTTCTATTCGCCAGTAATAAATCACTGGGTTTATACAGCTGTTTAAAAGTATTAGACCTTCCGCTATTGTATAAATGATTACAAGCACCCCAGACGATTCACTTGAGACTCCAATTGCTCCACTGCAAATAACATAAGGTAAATAACAAATCACAAAAGCAACAATTATAAAGTACATGACGTTGAGAGATTTCCTCACTTGTGACAAATTACTACTCGGTTGTACACTTTGGTGCTGGACTTGGATCTGCCTTGAGTGGCGATATGCAGTTTTATATATTTTCAAAAGGAAATATATATCCATCAGAGAAGCAACAAAAAGTACAATGAAATGAGCTCTTAGGGTATCCTCACGGTTTAAATAAACCAAAAGTACACCAGCTAGACAACTATAGGACCAAATGAATACAAGGACCACAGCTACGCCCTTGTTTGTTACGTATTGGCAGTACCTGAATATAATGATAGAGAATACATCATAAATACTCACACAAATGTTTGCTAAATGTTTAACTTAAATGAGACTAAACAGCCTTTAGAGGAGTACTCAGTACTCAGTCTACTATACTTTTTGGAGTAAATGGTTATTCTAGCATTAATCAAAATTGCGGAGTAAATGGAAATTCTAGCATTATCAAAATCATTATTAATTCATAAGATAACAGGAACACAATTGTTATTATGACCGCATCTTTATATGAGCAAGAGATTTGTCCTTATTTGAATATGACTTCGATTTTCTCTTAAAAACTATATTTTATCTTGAATCTTTTTGCAAAATACGCTTTAGCTTATGTTGGAATTTGATAAGCATATAAAATATTCACGTCCGACCTTTATGGGCTTTAAAACTGCTCGCTTGCAGCTCGCTGTTTTAAATGCCGTAAAGGTCTACTTAACATATTACATAAAAGATGGATTGACAGTGCGTTTACCGATGAAATAAAACACGAAACACACAGGGATGTTGGGAGAATGGCCCAAGTGTTTTTCCAACGTCCCCAACATACCTCATGTGATAATGGAGAGCTAAGAATCGATCTAATGCCACAGCAGTCAGTGTTAACAGAGAAACTGATACCAGAATCATTAAGGTAAACCAAAGTGCCTTAGCTAAAGCACAAAACTTTGTGATATCTTGAAGAAGATCAGAAAGCTGTAATGCCACTAAACATGGATAAGCAATAATGCCGGCAAAAAAATCGGAGATGGCCAAACCAACTATAAGAACGTTAGAAGGTCTATGAAGCGATGATGTCTTAAGAATAGTGTATATAGCTGATAGGTTACTAAGCGTAGCAAAAATACCAAGTAAAATACAGAGGACGATTCCTGTTATCAATCCTGACTCGTATGAGGAGTTGTGTTCTATGTTGAGATTTAATTCAAATCTGAGGCAAGGCTTCATGAATGTAGGGTCACTCTCCGAGGTTGTGTTGAGTGCCATGGTGGTTCAACTGCATGAATGACATTGATTCATTTCAAGCTCAAGACGAACTATCGATCACATGATCATAACCAAATTCGGTCAATGAAATAAAGAAAATGAAAGAAATATAAGCAATTCAAAAGCTTAATGAAAAAATTGTAGAAACTTCTCGTTGTTTTGACAAGTCAAAAATCGTGTTCTATTAAAATTTCTTTTTAAGTAAAATTAAAAATGCTTTAATAAAGCCGTCCATGATGAGAGGTTGCTCACAAAATCTACCCAATAGTGATATAAGTGCGCACTGTGCAAATATAATAAACATGCCACTATTTTAATAATATTGTCATTTAATCAGTCGAGATCTATGCATCGCATACGTTGAAAATCCGATATATCATTTTTTACAGATTCGTGATATCGCATATCGGCACAATAAGAAAATACAAAATGAAGGTACTGTATGAACAGTGATACAAATGTGATTAAATATAAAATTATATTTTAGGGCCGTCAATGAGTAACAGTCGGGATTTCAAAGACTCTAATTTGAACACCTGCATGTAAGTACGACCTCGAAAACCAACTCATTTATCATACATGTCAGCACACTAGGTCTACTACGATTTAATTCATACATGTTGAAAGCAATTTTGGTTTGGTGTTGGTCATTCGTGCAAATAAGAGAAAGTCCATGCTTTAAAAAAAAAGAACTCACAATAACAAAATGACAGCCAATAATGGTAGATGAATACTATGCTTTTTCAGCTTGGTCTGGTATGTGCGTTTGTACTCATATTAATGTGTTATACTTAATTCCTTTTTATTTCTCTTTGATTGATTTTTGCTTGTTCTGATGTTTGATTAGTTCTGAAAAACAGATCAATAAACCGCGAGTTTTTTTGTGCGTAAAGGACTGAGAATCTTAGTTTAAAGCTAGATCAATTACTTCAAGATGAAAAACAGATCAACTCAAAACCTTTTATGATTTTTATTACAGCTTCAAATTGCAAATGTGCATGTAAAGGTGCCTGTACGTTAACAAAAGTTTCACTGTAAACCTGGCATAAACCAGAAGAAAATCTACTGCTAAATAGAAAATATACAAAGACTACACTTTATTAGTGCAAATTTCATCAAACTGTTCTAATTATTCTGTTAGGATGTTTCCATTGGAAAGTATCATAACTTTAAATTAAGCCGTTGAATTCAACTGCTTCTAGGTATCGGAAGGATCAACAACTTGACTTGAAGTTAAGATGGAATCGATTCCAATACCATTTCCAGAGAATCTCCCAACAACATTGGTTTGAACTCCAGATTCAGAGCTGGAGAAAGGTTGAACAGAAAAACTCTGATTCCCATATACAAGATTGCCATTCATTTCGCCACTAGAATTACCAGCTGAGTGAATTCCAGACATGCTTGTGGTATTCACATTTCTCCCGATGCTTGAATTCATCAGCCGAGCACTATTACCTGTGATCGAGGTTGATCCACCAACATCAGCTCCCACGAAACTGGAGCCCACTTCCAAACCATTATCAGAGATTTCACGAGAACTACCAGCACCAATACCTGACATACCAGACCCACTTCCAACTTGATTTTGATTTACAAAACCAGAGCTTAATTCTCCACTTCTTAAAACGGCTAAGCCACACCCTAATCTTGTGCCACTGCAAGTTGAAAAGCCAGAACCAATCCCTCTACTATTTATGGCTGCGACACCAGATCCCATCCTATTACTATAACCAGCCAAAACACCACCATTTAAACCTGTTAAAACAGAACTGCCCACGCCTAACCTGTTAGAAGGGTATGAGCTGCCACCCATGCCACCCATCATTGCGGAGCCTAATCCCATACCATTTCCAGATTGAAAACCTGAAGATCTACTAAAGCCGAATCTACTAAATCCAGAATTAAGCGCAACACCATTTCCATATTGTAAACCATTGCTAATGCCTTGCGTTACACCTTTTCCAGTTATTCCACCAGGTAATGAAAACCTTGTACCGGCACCAGCCAATCCCACTCCTTCGTTTAAAATCCCATTGGAAGACATATTGGAGATACCTAAGGTACTGGCATCATTCCCAGTAAAAAACCCTCCCTTGCTAGCAGAGGAAATRCCTTGGCAACTTTTGATATTMATAAGGTTTTGACCAATTTGGTAGTTGAGGCCATTTGCACCACTTCGAACCCTGGAAATCTCCAAATCGTCTAGCGAAAAACCTTTGTTTGCAGATCTGTTACCTCGAGAGACGGCATGTTGATTGTTGCTGATACTTCTTAGATCTGTAAAGGACAGAGACCTGGGAATAGAGGTGCGATCCAAATCAAATTTCACTTTCGTGTCATCCATCCCTAGAGACTGATAAAATATACGTTAATTAGAAATTATAGGTTAGACTTGCAACCTCAGTTTTTGCTACGATGGGAGCAGATTCTTTCAAAAATTCAGGATAATATTTTTTATAGCATTGAATTGCACTATCTAAAAATCAGAATTTTGAGACTTATTTCATATAACAATTTTATCCCTTATGTTTTTCTTAATACTGAGTAAAAGCTTCGGGTCGAGGAGCGGAAAGATCGGAAACAAATAAAATTGTGATAGATTAATTGATCTTACAATATTATAACTAAAAAAAGACCTACAACCAACATTCTGATTTAATATGGAACCCCTTTCATCTGGCCACCAAAGGGACAAAGAGTGGCCGTATTATCCGGGTAGAAATGTATGTGGGTTTAAATCGCCGTGACATAAAGATCTGGCCAACGGTTTGGCCGTATTAAAGCGGGTGGCCGTAAGGCGGAGTTTCGCGTTAGTTGAGAAAATAACACGCTATACGTGTTGTACCTTGTTAGAATTGAAGGACAATATCTTTGTTTGACGTGACTCGAGGTCACGGACTCGTCCCTTCAAGAAGGCTATGTCACTCTCGAGGAGATCGTTTTTAATTTCCAATGAAGTGTTCTTTCCTTGAAAAGAGGTATGCTGTGGCCTTAGCACTTCTTTGTTTCCAATCTAAAAAATAGCGTTAAAAAAATAGCGTCTTGTTCTTAGTTTGAAGAAAGTTAAATGCCTAAAACAGGAGCTGTGGAAGTAGGGGCGCTGTATTTGGGGGGTTGAGGGGGGGGGAGGGGCATACCCTCCCACGAACTATTTTGTATACACAGGATCTCCCCACGAAATATCCTTGTATATATAAAACGCAGTACGGTTTCAACAAACCAAACAGCCACCATCATCACTTAACGTATTTCCTTTCCGAAAAATCAAATATTTCGGATTATGGAACACAAAACCTGCACGGTGGTCTCAATTCCCTTCAAGTTTCTGTTATTATACATGATTCCATCGTAAAATAACTAATTGATCTGTTGATCTTAAAGATTTTGCATGTAATAGTCTCTTAAGTAGTTTCTTGATATTTTGTAGTTACTTACCCCACCCATGGATATAAACGATTGTTCATTGACTTGAAACAAATCCGATGATCGTTTCAGTTCATCCATATCTCGCCTGTGCCTTTCTTCGAGTCTCTTTTTCTCTCTTTGATATCGTTCCTCCATTTCCAATTTTTCCTCCTTGTAACTGGCTTTAATGTCAGTTTTCTCTTTCTCAAGTTCGGTTATTTCCTTTTTTAGATCCCGTATCGTGTCCTCCAATGATCTTTTTTCTTGTGCATAACGATTTTCAAACTCAAATTGCAGACGTTTATAGAATTCTTGATTTTTGGAATTTGAGGTAAGGGACTCATTATGTAGTATTCGACCACCAGTACCTGCATCTTGTTGAAGCTTAAGTTGTATTTCTTTACGTTGGTCCTGTAGACACTGTATTTCTCTTCGCAACTCCTTTAGGGTTCTTTCGTATTTTTCTTTTTCGGTTTTAAGCTTTGCCTGATAGTGGGACTCCAGTTTTGACTTTAAATGATTATCAGTTTCCCTGATTTGAATTTCCAATTGGTTTCGTTCTTGAGCGTACTTATTCTGTAACAAAGTTAACTCATCTCTGAACTTCAACTCGATTTCTTTGAATTTTGCTTCATAGCTGCTAATCTTTTGTTGTAGTTCTTGAATAACTTCGTTTGATCTTTTACTATCTCGCGTTAACTTTCTTTCATATTCATTTTTGATAGATGCAATTTCATCCTTCGATCTTTCGTCACGCCGAATTGACTCTCGTCTTTCCTTCTGAATTTTTTGAAGTAAATTTTCTTTTTCATGCTTAAGAACGTGGATTTCTTTCTTTAAGCACTTCAGGCTTGTGCAAAGCTTTTGATTTTCACTTAATAATGCTCCTTTTTCTCTTTCAAAGGAGTCCTTTTGTAATTTTATTTGTTTACGCAACTCGTTTGAATGTTCTCGATGTTCTTCAACCAGTTTTTTCATTGTGTCCTGTAACTTGCCATCAAAACTATCATCATAGTCACCAGATGCATAAATCTCTGACGAATTGATCCTAAAAGAATCATTGCCATTTGGTCCATCAGCGTAACTCCTGGCACTTTCGCTCCTTGTTACCTCATCCACTTCGAAATGAACACGTGCTTGGCCTTCAAAGCCTCTTCTTTCCTGCTGCTCGTTGTCAGACTTGCGCGTCATTTGTCCTTCTAAATTTTTCATTCGTTTTCCCATGTTTTGCTTATCAATGCTCAGGCGGTTGACTTCCTGTTGAAGTTTGTTTATAGTTTCATTCAGCTGTGTAATCTGATTATCGCTGGAAATGGACGCTGGATGATAAATTGGGTTTTGGTTACTTCCTCCACTTTGCAGATACGGATTAACCGACGACTGCGCTGGTTGCGATGATCCATGACCCTGTGGAATTACTGGGAAACTAGAACCCTGAGATGTTGCAGTAGAAGCATACGGRCCTTGTGACGGGAAGGTATGCTGAGCGAGCTGTCCCATCGGTGGGTTTACATTACCAGAGATGTTTSAAGGATTTTGGCTAGGCAGCGGGGATGCATTGAAAGGCGGTGAAGGGGAATGGAAGTTACCAAAAAGTGCGCGTTTCTCCTCTTCGAACATTTGTTTAAGTTTGCGTTTTTCTTTCTCAAATTCATCACGAAGCTGCTTGCTTTGCCCCTCCAAATCAATGAGGTGTTCGTTTTCCTTTTCTTTCAATAATTGCTCCAATTCGTCTACATTCTTTTTAAGGTCACTAGCATTGTTTGCTGCTGAAGAACCATGTGATGAGTTAGGTTTCAAATCAATTGACCTGAAAGAGTCTTTGGTAGATCTTTTGTTAATGTCCCTCTGGTACTCAATTTCGTCCTCAAGTTTGCGTATCTTGTCTTCAAGCATTTGATTTTCCCTCTTCTGATCCCTCACTTGATCCTCTAAGTTTTCCATTTTCCTTTTATAGTCATTCATTTCTAATGATTTTTCTCTGTCAAAGCTACGAATTAAGGTGTTTCGGTCGTGTCTAAATGTATCTTCCATTTCCCGAATCTTTCGCGAGGCCGTGTCGATTTCATTTATCAGCTTGCGGTTTTTATCTGACAAATCTTGTAAAGAAGATGATGAGTTGTCGACTTCTTTTACGAGTGATTTTTGCTTTTTTAGCATACTATCTCGTTCTGAATTCAACTCTTCCAATTCGTCAATTAGTTCGCGGTTTTTGTCCTCTGCCTCTTTCCGCTTTTTAGCACTACGACGCAAGGATTCACATTCATCGGTTAGCTCTTCAACTTTGTTTTGTAGACTTCGAATTTTCTTTCTTAAAGCCGAATCATTATCCTTGTTTTGTAGTGAATTAGCACTAGGGGAAGTGCAATGATTTAACTGGAATTCATTCATGCCATTAGCGTTGGAATCAGTATTGGATAAAATGTTTTTCATCTTGTACAAGAGATCTTTGTTTTCTCGCTCCAGGGCCTCACGTTTTTCTATTTCACTGCTTAACTGGCTTTGCGACTCATTCCCATTTTGCCTTACCTCACTTCCCTGAGGTAGTCTTTGTTCGATGACCATGTTATTATTGGGCTGCTGAGCATAACTTGTGCCACCACCTCCTCTACCAAGAGCAGTACTAAGATTTATCTGGAGAGCCTGAATTTCATTGGCGTACATCTCCTCCATTTGATTAGATTTGGTTCTTAAGTCAGCGAATTCATTCATCAATAATGTCATTTCCTGAGACAGTTCTATCTTCGATCTTATTTCCTCCTCGAGTTGAACTTGCAGGTCGTTAATTTCTGCAGTAAATCTTGCTTCGAGTTCAGCACGTGCAACAATAATTTTGTTTTCAGAATTGTACAGCTCATCCAACTTGGCCACCATTTCTATTCGTTCTAGATCAAGTCTATGGACCGTGCTCTCCAGTGCAGTAAGTTCTTCCTGAATCTGCAATTTCTTTAGACCTTCACTTTCAACTTTTATTTCCATTTTCTGCATTTCCTCTTGATATTCTGAGTTTACTTGGAAAAGCTTTCTTTCCAGCTCCTGACAATAAATTGTTTTCGAATGGAGGTTTTCTTCTAGATGTGAAATATCATTCTTCATTTTACGGGATTTGTCTTGGAGGTCAAATTCGATCTCTTCAATTTGAGATTGGAGATCACGTTGTCCTTTCTGAAGCTCTCGTACCTGACATTTTAACTTTGAGTTTTCATTTTGAAGACGCGTTTTGTCTGCATCTGAATGCCAATTGCTCTCAAAAGTGTACTTCTCAGACATCTCTTCTACGGCTCTTTCGGTACCCTGGCTATTGATTATATCGATGATTTGCTTGAAGAGTTCATTCTCGTTAGCAAGAACAGATATTTCATGTCTATATGACTCTGTATTTTCTCCAGTTAACAAATTGGATTCCAACTGCAAAACAGGAGTGTCTGGTAAAGCAAAGTGGCTACTTTCAACATTCACTCTTGAGTTGATAACATTTCTTAGACTATCGAATTGACTCTTTAAAAATCCATTTTCATTTCTAAGCATGTTTAAATCGTTGTCATATCTGCCTAGCTTGCTATTAAGCTCTGAAAGCCTCTCTTCATATAATACCCTTTCTCTGCTTTCCCTCTGAAATTTCTCCTCTGCAGATTGCCTTTCTCTTCTTTCTTTCTCATAGTTTACTTCCATTTTGTCCTTTTCTAGAGCAAGCTGGTGGTATCGTTGTTCGTAATAATCCTTGTCAACATCTTGGGCTTCAAAGACTGTATGGCAATGTTCATGTTGACGATGACTTAACGGACCGTGTCCGCAACAACTATCACAACCGTCCTTAAATTCTCTATGACTGTTTCCTCCACAGAAGCAAGTAGGGCTGTTATCTACACAACCACAGCTGTTCATAGTTCAGTCTGTTCGCACTAATGGCACTTCTTGTTATGTTGAGGAAACAAATCTCATTCCTATTCTTTGCTGTAGCTAATATTAAGAACAAAAATGTTAGAAAGATATGGATAATACAATTTATCATTAAGTCAATACCTAATCTTCATCATTTACACAGTCGCGGTATTTTCAAAATTTCAGGGATGCTCTATCTTAAGAATAAATAAAAAAAACTTCAACAGACTTCCAAGATGTTTTAAAAAAATGGGTCTAAATGTCAAAATATGAAGTGTGAAACSTATGCTTCTTATCTCGTCCGTCCTTTGCAGACAAATGGAATTAAGTATTTGGTATGCATTCCAGCATGAAATCAAAACCGCAAATGATTTTTTGTGGACCAAACAGCGGGTAGTAGCAGGTAAGTTGAGGATTCTCAAGATACTTCTTTTCTTTGAATCAAAAATGGCTTTTATGAAACTCAGTCAATACTGAGAATCAAAATTTTGGAATTTTAAATTTCCAAATTATAACTACACAAAATGTTGAAGTAAAGCCATTGGACTGAAATAAATATATATATGAGGAAACAATGGCTATCAATATTGGATTTGGAAAGTTGCTGAAGAAAAATGATATATAGGTTATCTTTTCAATGCTTGGAATAACTGACGATATTTTTATTCAATCACATCAATAGTTTTAAAAACTGTTGACATTTTGTCCCCATGCGGTGGTTTCTAAAATACGAAAACATGCCATTGACGGACAAAAATAGCTCATAATAACAACATTTTTCAAAATTATTTTTCTCAAAATTTACATTTAAAAAAAATCTGATATTTTTGTAAGATATCAAGACCTTTTTAAACTATAGGATTTACTTAGTAGACTACAGTAACTATACCTTCGATAAAATATATGATAATTTCTGATTAGTCAGTAAGGCTTACCTTAAATTAAACTGGCAGTATGCAAGTCCATGTCCAATAAAAGATCAATGATACTTTATTATCAAGAGTTTTCTAGCAGGTGCACACTAAGGATAGGAGTGGATTGTCAAACGAGACGTTGTTCAGTATAAGTACAGACCAAAGATGGATCTTCTACCAGAACGACGCTTACCCCATAGAGTTGTGAGGTTTAGAAAAACCACAAAACCCAAGCAATATAATCTCTATTTAAGTTAATGGTGGCTAAAAATGTTAACTAGACCTTTCTATTGGGGCAGAGTATATAAGTTTATAATGAAAGCGATTTTAGTGGGAATAAAATATTAGGTAACCTGTCCAAAAGGCGGTATCCCTTAACACATACTGAATATTTTGATTTTTCACGGCGTTCAAAACGTTTTCGCATTGGTCTTAAAACTACTAAAACTACGAAATATTTCCTTATAGTAATTGTATCGTTTTCGCTTACCGTAAACACTTTCAAGTTTCAATTCTTGGAATAAAAATGTTAATTATATGTGTTTGCGCAATCTCAAAAAACCGCTGACCATAATAATGTAAATATATTAGCCGAAAAAAATACTCAACTCTACTTAACTAGTTAGTTATCATTTATCATACTTGTTTAATTCTCCTCGTAAACAAACTTTCAGAAGTGTGTCATTGGTAATCCCACCTCTGTATGATAACGCAAAATTGCTGATATATTCAAAATTTAAAAACCTTTTTCATTCAACCTTTTTTATTTAACAGACCAAGAATAGTTCTAATTAATTGCGGGTAGCAATATATTCTTTGTATTTAAATAACTTCTTAAATGCAAATAAATTGTTGCGCAAAACACATTTATTCAGAGAGTTCCTTTGTATCTGTGTAGATTAACACCGTTTCCATACAAATGCACACTATCACGTGAAGAAAATTTCCTTTTATCCAATCATGTGCAAAATACATAGACACCACAAAAGTATATATCAGCCAAGTATATATCAGTAAAAAACAATCAGTTAAAACAAATATTCATTAGAAGACAAGAAAACAGGTACTTTCCTCTTCCGTGAGAAAAAATAATATCATTACCACAAGTAATATAAACAATATATTTCAGAAACCAGAACCAGTTAATCCATGGAAGGATAGCATAGTAGAAGTAAAATTCAAAAAACACTCTTGATAGAAACCAGCCGAAGTGAGTTTTAAGAAAATAAAAAATTAACACTGAAAAATAAAGCATTGGAAAACAGCGAAAAGTGTTATATCTATTTTTCTTATTACAAATAATCATGCTAATTATCACTGACCACAAGTTCTAGTTTAAAGGCGCAGCTAATTTGCTTAAAAACCTTGTCATTCAGTGAGGAAAATATTACCTATTGTTTAATGCAATGCGTTTGCCACTAATTTGTAGTTTTTGAAAAAGGGTTTGAATTAGGTAAATAGAAGCATACATAAGCACTCAAGTCTCATCTAATTGTTCTGGCATAAAACAATGTTTACCAGCGATGACTATTAAATTTTTAAATATAATCCCCAGCAGGTTATCTGATAACGAAAAACTATTTAAGCTTGCGATTGTTATACCACCTTTCAATACTGAAGACACCGAAACTCGGTAAACCAGGACAATCAAAACCAAAAAAAGCAACCCAAGTTACAGGTATACTTTTCTTATGTTAGTCGCATAAGGGATTTTATAGGAAAATAGGGATTAAGCATAGAAAAGGCTTAGTTATAGTATTAACTTTTTCTAATGACCCTTGTAATTTATGAAGGGGAAACCAACATAACACAATGTAAGAGTAACAATCTTACTAGTGAAACATAGCTTACTAGTGAAGCATAGAAAAGGCTTAGTTATAGTATTAACTTTTTCTAATGACCCTTGTAATTTATGAAGGGGAAACCAACATAACACAATGTAAGAGTAACAATCTTACTAGTGAAACCAGCAAAATGGATGCATATCACAAACAGAGACAACATATTATTTTTTATTGCAGATGTGAAAAGTCAATATCATAAAACTATCATAGTTAATTTCCATTATTTATTGGTTCCTAATACAATAATATATTCACTGCAGTCTCGTCCCACTTTATGCTTAAAATCATTGATGATCGGTATTTCAATGCTCGTATCAAGTAATGAGTTTCCTTTGAGCCATGACGCACGATATTTAGTCATAAAGGGGTTAAGCTAACAAATATGAGTAATGAGTAATGAGTAATGCTCGAGTCGGCAGTTGCGATCGAAGCTGATTCGAAACGTATTTCAGTCGATCCAAGCTCTATGCAACCTGATTTGGGAGCCCATAGAATGATACTGATAAATCCACAAGTAACGATCCAGACTGCACCCCTTTTTAAATATTACAAGCATAAAAAACTAATTTGAAAGTGAAGTAATTTCTTACCGTTTCTCTGTAGAGACACCATGTGCGATATAGATGAACTTAAAGATCGGGTTGCTGCCTTAACAACACAAAATGCGGAATTGATTAACCAATTGAGGAATGCAATGGATGGCAAATTAGACGATGTCAAAGACTTCATGTCGAAACTCTCCATTCAAGATCAACCTTGGTTAGCTTCCGGCCTCCAATCTCTTACGGGTGGGGCATTGGGAGCATTAGGAGCTGCAGACGCTGCTTCTTCTGCATCGGAATCCATTGCTGATGGTAAAGAACAAGCCAGTAAAGCCGCAGATGACGCTGCTGCCACAGCAGATAAGACCGCAGAGGAGGGCAAAAAGAAAGCTGCAGAAGCTGCAGAACAGGTTGAGGATGGTGCTGAGGATATCAAAAATGATGCCATCAATTCCGCTGCAAGCTTGGCAAAAAATTGGGGCTGGTAATGATCAACCTGCAACAATTGAATGAAACGTTCTTCAAAATGCTTGCCTTGTAATGAATTTCAGTAAATGTTTGTAATATAATCTAAATTATCGAGAAACAAGAGACGTTTTCCATAATGACTAGAAAAGAATCAAAATGTGTTAATCATAAATATCAATATGAACTAAAAAACTGCCTTCCATTATTAAATGTATCCCTATTACAGTTGAACCTCTATTAAGCGATCAACCCGAGGAAATACCAAGTAACCGATCATAAAGGTTGACTGTGTCCAAAAGGGCTAGGTTTACAGTAAATATATACGTAATTGCAAAAGCATTGTCCCGAGAAAGAGCTTTTCTAATTGGGATATCAGTAAAATCCAAAAGAAAGCGTTCAATTGGAGTAGGCATGGTCTTCTTTAGTTTCCTGGTTTCCTAAATCTCTTCATCTTTATCGAGTTTAGGTGTATATGAGAACCTTATTTTTGGGAAAATAATAAGTGACTGCTCAAGAAGTCGAGAAGAGTAAATGTTAAATGATAGTTTTAGTTTTTTTTTTTTTTTTAGTTTTAAAAATAATAGTCGTTCGACTGTATTTTACTAAAGATCAGTCTCCCGCTTTAGCTTTTACTGATCGCTTCCCTTTTTTTTTCCTTTTTTCCCTTTTAATTTTCTGATTTTAATTCCGATTTTGGGATGATGTGAAATTCTTCCAGAATAACTCCTTTTGACAGGCCTGGTTTGAGTTCTTGCATGAGTCAAATTAACTCATTAGATTTGACTGTGCAAAGAAATTATTTTGCAAATGATTTATAGGAATGAAGTCGATAATACGATATCAGCAGTATACCGCAATCCTTAGGACCTGCACACTTGGTCCTTCAACACTTTCCCAAAGATGGACCTACATTCCATTGCCTGCTAACTGTTATTGAGTGGACTGTTCCTACAAAAATAGTGATGATTTCCTTGGATAAAAATTCTAATGCATTCCTAACTGGTTTATCTTACTCACTTAAACTTACTCACGTATGGGGGCTATTGCGATCGTTTTATAGAAATATTAAATTTACTTTTATCATTTCGATAGCGATCTTTTTCTATTTTTTTTATTTTTTTTTCCTGTATTTGCTTATCCTTGTTTTCTTTTTTTTTTATGCAATATGACGGTGATAGCGATCATTTTATTCGCAGAAGGTATTTGATCATATGGTATAACCTCAGAATTCGTTAAATCACTCTACAACTGACTGCCGCGTCAATTCGTAAATAAAAAAGAGATCGAATTCAACTGCAGTTTTCATCAATTACACATAAATGTTGTTTTAGCAATGTTATGGCGATAGGGGTGCAGTTTGTGGGGAGAGGGGTCATGCGCAATACCAGTACCTTAACTTGAGTAATAAAGTGCAGTGCGCTAAATTGTATTTCACGGGTTTAAAGAAACTTTCATGAGCCCAAGAAATACACTTGGGCTTATTACATTTTATAAATTTTTATTGTGCTCATTTTTCTGCCTTTCCGGGGTATTACACTTTGGTTATTACGCTTATTTTACCACTCTATTTCTCTTTCGCTTATCCAACTTTACTGTAGACTATGCTGTATTATTAAAAAGAATGAAACCTTTGAAAACCTTAGATCAAGGCGTATCAGCTTTATATTTATCTCACGGTTTAAGTGTCCTGTTTTTTAATATCTTGCTATGTTGAAATACTTACTACTACGAATAAAATATTTGAATAAAACAGGGTGGAATATACATTTTTCAAGCTCCTCGTTGTCATGGTGAAATAGCGTTGTTTTCAAAGACGGGTAAAAAAAATTACACCGATACTGGCTCATTGCCCGCAGTGAGAAACCAATGCAAACATCGAGTCTGAAAGACTCAATGAGGTCTTGAAATTTTCAAAGTAATAATATGAGCTCAGAGATGAATTTAAAACTACAACAAACAGAAAGCATAACAGAATATCGTTTACGCTACAACTTTTCCATTACTCGACACAAGAAAGAATTGAACATTTCTTAGAAGTATTTTAAATAACAAAACACTCAGGTAAGCTGTTGCAAACTTTTCTTTGAAAGGCATTATTATTGAAAGGAGAAATACACATTTGTTGTATTGTTGTATTTTTTGTGATTTTATTTGCATGGGAAGTATAATAGCTTGAATACAAACACTAGGATTATCAACATGACGATGACATAAAACCACAAACTTCAAGTGGAGAGCAGTACATGTATTTATCTTTTTACTCTGAGTACTGAGCTCCCATCGTCAGCAAACAATACACATTACAACACTTTGAAGAAAGATTCAAACGCCACTTACCATTTTGCATACTTATATATCTAAAAGATATTTTGTAGTACAACTATTGTACACCAAGATAATCAGAATGCTACAATTTAAGAGAAATACAATTACTCATTTCAATTCAAAATTACGGTCGGGATTCGTTATATATATATATATGTAGAATTAAGTTGGCTCTGACTTAAAAAAGCTTTCCAGACGTTGTAGTAATCATTAATCATTATTCTCGTTACAAAGAGACAACTCGAAACAAATTAAATTACATATGTATATTTTTTAATGATTCTTAGGACCATATTTTATTTTCGCTCTATAATACGAGTATGGATACAAATAAATGTTGAAAAGTATGGTCACTGTCATACACGACAATAGATAAAAAGGAACATCACTTCCAGATTATGACTTTTACATTAGTTTGCACCTTATTATTATATTATTAAAATATGAAAACACACAAAAAATAACAAGACAAAATACTGAGAAACGCAATGGTGCGCAGATAAAAACATGAGCGTCAAACCCTTGCAGTGGTCGACCAAACCGACACATGCCTCCACAAAGACTGACATTTTTGGAAAGCAAACACTTCGAGATCGCTTTGTTGCCAATAATGGCTACTGTGAATATATTTTGTTGTAAATATATTATGCAAAGTAAGCCCCTAGTCGACTGAAAAATACAAACTAGATTGGTCCCTTGAAGAATAATGAAAAGAATAACTACGACAGTGCAAAACACCTGTTGAGCTAAATAAAACATTTTCATTAAAAAATTCAATTTCAAAAAAATGGCTAAACAATTGCAGATTATATATATATAAGGTGTTTAAAAGTAAAGGGATTGGAAGATACCAAATAAATTTAGATAATAAATACACTCATTAGGGCGTTTAAAATATCACACAACAAAACRTTTACTTCGAAATTCGTAATTTCCGATTGCCGACTATAAATAGCAAAACACCGAAACGCACCTGAGACAGTCGATCATGGAGCGATTTCGTGTCTTTTGGATCTTATTTTCTATTTTTAGCCCTTTCACTTTTTTTMAATTTTTTTCTATCATTTCTATTAAATGCATGGTTCCATTGCCTGGGAAAACTGAGCACGCTCAGATAAGCTTTGTTTCATGGCTAAATCAGTTTTCACCTTTACTTTTTAATATATTTTCTTGYTTTTTGTCCAAAAGTGTCTTAATATTTGGCATTAATTTTGCTTTTTTTCCAAATGGGCAACAGAGGCATAGCTATTCATCTCAAAGGGATTACAGTATATTCATCAATCTCAACCACTCGTGACAATTGTTTTTTGGTCCAACAACCTCTAATGGTATATCGTTTCATCAGCAAAGAGCACCTATGCAGTGAATTTTTTTTTTTTTTTTTTGCACGGTATTTATAGGAATTGATATGCATGAGCAATCAACAACTTGATAATAAACAAAGACTAGCGCACAATTTGAGCAATTCAATGGTGAAATCCAAAATATGCATAAAAAAGAATAGAACTTAAAAGTGACTAACTCCATCGCTATCTTTTGAGCCTATGTACTTGACCGCCTAGAACATTAAAACCTACAAAAAATAACAACTCAAAAGCAGCTCTTAATCAAATTAAAACAAGAGAAATGCAAGTCATGGAAGGAATAGGATTAATAAAACCTCTGTATTGTCCTTTTTCGACTMTCTGGCGATCCCATGCATACTTTCAATAGATGGATATAATGTCAAAGCAAGACAGTTCCACTCTATCTAGGCCCTATCGCCTGTGAAAAAAAACTATAACATTATTTCACATCATGCATTGTGTTTACGATTCAATGTCCATTTCCTACTGTAGTTAACAGGACAGGTTCATACTTGCCCTAAGATATGATAAAAAAACGCGATAATCATCAGGAATTTGTTTTCGCACTTACTGCTGGTTTGAAACAATGGTAATTCGAAAATGTAATTAAAATCTCTTAATTGATAGCTCGTTAATCTAACTTACAATCGACCTCTAATTAACTGTGATAGATTTAATCCCTAATGTCAGAGAAGAAATCTAGGAACAAGTTACGAATAGAGTTTCACTATAACTGTTTACTTCTAAGTTCAGGTACCAACAAATAAACAGTGTACGTTCTGTACCTTATGGAAATTTACAATAAATTCTACAGAAATCATACAATTAATAATTACAAGGCATCTATGTCTTATCTTCTTTAAACAGTGAGATTCTTTAAACATAGAGAGGTAATATTTATGGCAATTTCTACACGAAAGGTCTTCTAATGACTTCCAATATCAGGCAATGAATAAATGTAGAAAAACATTCATTGGAAAAACTGTCAACTAGCTTGATACCTGCTAAGCRATTCAGCACCAAGACAGAACAGAAATCATTACCGAATACCCATTATAAGGATGTCCGAAATTAAATTACTAGAGAATTGGCCTTACATTGAAACGTTAAATTCTACCATTACAACGCTATATGATTATTTGAAAGAAAGCTCTAACACATTACATAGTCAAAAGTAAATCTCAATAATCAAACATTGTATAGACATTTTGGACGTTTGCCACCTGCTAGTAGCAGACTGTTGCCAATGCAAATAAACTTCAAACTGAAGTAGAAAATATTGATCAGATTATTCTGTCTAGGCTATCATGGAAAAAGAAGACATCGAAGAATTCAGGGAAGCGATACAGAAAATGTCTGACGAGGAAAGTGGAGAAACGAAAGAAAGTACAAACGGACAGGATACACAGCAAAAACTCCTTGAAGAATATAAGCAACAAACAGCACAGTTAGAAAGGGAAAAAGAGGCATTGAAACAAGAAAACTCTCTCCTAGCGAACAGCRTGAATAATGAAAATGTCAACGGAAAMCAATGCGCCGTTGAAGAAGGTCTGGTAACASAATCCGAAAGCAAAGACGAAAAAGAAACGCTTCCTGACAATGATCAAGATCTTGATGATTTGTCCTCAATTTTCTCCGAGGATGAAGAGGATCTGAAGTCATTGGTAGAAGGGAGTGAAACTATAAGAAAGGCTCTTAAAAACTTGAGAAAAGAGCGCGACTTCTGGATAGCTGATACAGAAAGTGAGACATCGGATGATTGTGATACTTCAGTGAGCGCACGAAGCCTGAGAGGGTCTTCTGTTGATAGAATACAAATAAGTAAACTTCTCGCTGAGAAAGAATTCCTAGAGCTTAAATTAAGTCAGGTTACTACTGAAAAAAAAGAAACAGAAACAAAACTCAAATTCCTGGAAAAATCAGAGAGCAAACGCCGGCAAGAAAGCACAAGATTGAATCAATCGGAAAATATACCTCGTATCGAGACTAAGATGCAACCTTCTAAGCAAGGRAGTCATAAGAAACAAAGAGAAGCCCCCAAGCYCCACAYACAGCACCACAAGAAAAAAGGCCATGGGATGAGCAATGCAGAGCTCCTGCAGTTTTTACAATCAAGAAGTATTTCGCCACAATTGGTAAAGGGTTATGAAGATGATATAGCCATCTTAGCAGAGGAGAATGCAAAATTAGGCGAAATTATTGACCATTTACATGTCAGCCCCGAAGAAGACCAATCTCCAAGGATTGACCCKATGGCAGCTTTTATGGATGCATATGAACATCGCGTGCCACAGGATGAGTACATGCGTCTTGAAAGCGACAAAATGAGGCTTGAACACTTAGTAAGAGAGAAGGATCGCCAAATAAAAGAGAGGGATCGCATAATCGAAGAATCAAAGTTTGATTATGAAGACGAACTTAAACTACTGAAAGAAAATATGAAAAGAATGGAAGGGAAATTGAGAGAGAAAACAAAACAATTAAATGAATATGAGATACAAATTATTGAAATGAAAAGCGMATATGAGGAGCAACTGGGAAATGCTGAAAATGACTTACAAATGGTAAATGACCAGAAAATAACATTAGAAGAAATCAACGCCAATTTAATGGAAAGCAACAGGAAATGTCAAATTGAAATTGAGAATCTCAAAACAAGTTTGACCAAACTGAATGCAAGAGAAAARGAGATMGAAAAGCAATACAAAAATGAATTAAAAATGCTTGAAGATAAATACTTGAATGAGAATAAAGAGAAAAATCAATTGAGTGGAAACCTTGAGGGATTAATGTCCGATTTGATGGTTTTGAAAAACAAGCTCCTCGAAGATGGAAGTAAAACTTCAAGAATGAGGGAAAATTTCGAAAAAGAAAGRCTAGAGTTGGGCGGTGAAGCTCTCGATGTTAATCCCAGGTTCGCTAATTTGACATTGCATCTCAAAAACAGGGGTCAAGGCGAAAACACTCAACAGCCCACCTCAGAGCCTCTGGAAGCCAATCAACAATCAATTGCCATGGAATCAAACGATATCAATCTATCASTACAGTCTGATGCTAGTGGATATGCAATTCTCATCAAAGAACAGAAAGAGAAGATAGAAATGCTGGAAAAAGCCAACCAAGATCTAAATGAAAAGCTTCTTCAGTATAATGAGCAAGTGCAAAATCCACTCCTTGATGTTAACAATGAAGCTCCGAATCTAAGTTCAGAGCAAAGCATGCACACTAGCGGTCAACTTGGAGTTCCAGTACTTGAGAATAAACATGGCAATCAAGGCGAAGTCCCCCAAAGTCAGGATGTCAATAACAATCTTTCTCGACCTTCATCAGCGCTGAAGTATGAAAAAGACGAGCTTGAACAGGAGAACATGTATTTGAAAAACAAGCTTGACGATCTAGGAAAAGAGAAAATGAAAAGACGAGAGCTTGAAGAAAAGAACGAAGAATTGCAAGAAGAAGTCAGTCAAATGTCTAAAAAGAGAAATGAGCTGCAGAAAAAGCAAGAAGCCATGAGTGGTGAAATAGATGAAATGACGGAAAAAGTAGAAGAACTTGAAAAGAGCAATGCTAAACTAACAAAAGAAGTTGATCAGCTTACAAATAAGATTAAGGAAATGGAAGAGAGTTTCAATGAAGAAAAAGAAAACATAACGATGTCATTTGAAAAGGAAAGGGAACGAAAAGAAAAAGAGTTGAATAAAGCTTTCGAAAAAGAGCGGGAGAAGATCAACGATTTGGAAGAAGAAGTCGAAAAGCTCCAAAATGAAATAACTTCGCTGACAAAGGAAAATAAAGAATTGAAGAACAAATATAATCGTGATTTGGAAACTGCAAAGAAAGAYGACAATCGACAAGTTGAAGATGAAGTTAAGAAAATGAAAGATGAGATAGCCTCATTATTAAAAGAAAATAAAGATAATGAAACAAAATTCAGCAAGGACATCGAAAACCTTAAGAAACAACACAACGAGGAGATCGCTAGTCTGGAAGGCAATGATCAAAAGAGCGCAATAGAAGGTCAGTGGAAAATAAAGCTACAACATACAATCAAGAATTATGAAGAAAAATTAAAAAGATCTGAAAACGAAAAAAAAGARCTTCTTACGAGACTTAAAGAAAAGGACAGTAACATTTCGGAAGACGCACTAGCTGCTACCATGATAGAGAATGTGGAAAGTTCAGAATGCGCTTTTAGTTTTGAAAGTGAGGTTCCACTAGAAAGCACTATGGAGTCAAGTGCTCAGTTATTCACTCCAGACGATGGCATCTTGTCACAAGGAAAGCAAAGCAAAGACGAAACTGTTGGACTAGCCAAAGTTTTGAAAACAGAAGAATACAATCCGAATACTGATCAAGATGATCATAAAGGACCTGCTTTGAGACCATCGTATTCAATTACAGAGGTGCCTTTAGATGAAGAAATCGTCAATGAATTTAGTGAATCTCTCATGGACATGAAAGAAACCCCAAGAGACACTGAGAAGATTGACGAGGGATTGCCAAGTAGCACTGGCAGGATATTAGACACCAGGATAGATGCCAGTCCTGCTCCTATTCGTGACAGGCGTAATATTGACAAAGACGAGATGGACGTAGAATACACTTCGATTATTCCAAATGTACAGATACAAGTAGAGTTGAAAGACGATGAAGGGAGAGAAAAGGAGTCAAACTCGTCCGTTAAAGGTGGAAATGTGCAGCTTGAGGAACAAACTGTACAGCTTCAAAAAGCATTAAATGAAAAGCATAATGAAATTSTACGCTTGACACAAGAGATTGGACAGCTTCAGCAACAGCTGGTGGCGAAGAATGGAGAAATAGCTTTATTACAAGAAAGGGAGAAAARTGCCAGCGTTGTATTCCAAAACAAAATGGATGATAATACTAAATATTACCAAGATCTTCTGGAGAAATTAAAGACGACACTTCAAGGTGAAAAGAAGGAATTAGAGGAGCGCTTGAATAAAGATAGTGAAGAAATGCAAAGGCTAATGAAAGAAGAGTTCCAAAAGAGTTTGACGTCCAAGAGCGGAGTACTAGAAAATAAGCTGCAAGAGCTTGTTGYTGACAAAGTGAAAACTTATAAAGAACAAATCAAGAAACTTGATGTCCAATTACAAGACGCCAAACAAAGGATAAAACAGTTTGAAAAGGGAGAAGACGAAGGAACCAAAAGACTTGAAAGGGAGAAAAAAGTTTTAAGAGCTACAATTCAGGCCCTGAGCAAGGAACTCAACAAAGCCAAACAGGAGAGAAAAGAATTGAAAAAAGAGTACAAAAAAGRTAAAGCTAATATGAAAAATGCCGCTGAAGAAGAAAAGAAAAGTTTTGAAGAATCACTAGAAAGGGCAAAAGACGTACAAAAACTCAAAATCGAGGAAGAAATGAGGAAGAAGTATAGCGTTGATGTTGAAAAGTATGAAGAGAAATTAGAAAGACTGAACGAAGAAATTCAACAATATGAAGTAAAAATGGAAGACATGGTTATCAAGTTCAAAGAGGAAAAGTTCAAACTTGAAAGCGACCTACAGGATTCTTTAATTGAGCTCGAAAGTTTGAAGGAGTCTCAGAAAGAATTCAAGGTTACCTTGGAAGAAGAGTACAAAAGAAAACTACGAAAAGAAAAGCAAAATATTGAAATCACCCTTGAAAACCTAAGGCAGGAGATAACAAGACTKCGCGAAAACAGACAGCACCTGGAGGCACAACTRCAACAAAACGCACACTACAAGCTTGAAAAGGATTCTGGATACACCACTACGCATACAGCTGAAAACACGACTTTTACCAATAAAGAAATATTTAACCGAATCGAAAATGAATACCAGCAACAACTTCAAAGAGAGAAAGAATACTACGAATCTAAGATACATGACTTAGAAGATGACTATGAAAGCTTGACGCAGGAAATTTCTCAAATGAAAGCCAAGTTCCGGCAAGAACGGGTAGCTATGAAATCTGAGTTTGAAAAAGAAAAGTCATTTTTGGARGAAAGATTTGAAAGAGAAAAAAGAGAATTGCAAGCATCGTTGCAGTTCAGATTACACAATATGAGAGATCCAAGGGTAAGTCATGAAAACTATATCCATCATTGGCCAATATTAAAACAGTTTTCAATTACGTCGAGTCGGGTTGGTGATAGCRTTTATTGCTATTATTGTTACTTTTGTTTTTAGTSCTATTCTTGATTCGCCATAAAACGTTTGTTCACTAAAAGTCTATATTTCATATATTTTCATATTTCATTGAACAGATGCCCCAGTTGATTCCTAGAAATATGAATGCTGCACAGCGGAACATCAGGCTCCAAAGTGAGATTGACATGCTACAGCAGAAAGTGTCGAGACTAGAGGACCTGTCCCCGAGACTCATAGATGTGGCTCAGAGAACGTCATACAACAACTCTCATATGGAAAACAACGCGCGATTTCAAAGGTAATCAAATATACATGCACATCGGCAAATATATGCAAAAATACGTCAATCAAACGCATCGCATTTTCCATCAAGCTTGACTTTCTCTTAASGCAGAGATCGAGGTGGAGACTGAAACAGTTCATAAAGTCAGAAACGGAATCGCAAGCAGAAGGTTGTAGTGTCATARAAAATGTCGGCCGTCACTTTGATCACTTCGGCTAAAGGGCGAGGAGACTACTCCCACTTGGTCCCTTTCAAATGATTATTTAATAATTTAACCTTGCATTTTTCTCTTTTTGCGCAGTTCGTATCAAGGCAACAACCTTCAAGTTCCACAAATAGGACAYCACCCTGCTCCGCAATACCAGATGAACAATGAGATGGTTCATAGTCCCCAGAAGGTGAACAAGAGCCCAACCTTAGGAGGAATCAATGRAGGAGTCAATGGGTCATATCTCCAGAGTGACGAAGTGGATAAGAAAGCAGCATTARGAGATGACTTTCAAGAAGAAACTCAGAGAGAATTCACAACAAATGAGAGGGGTGGTAGTAGGGAAAATTTAGATGCGGATGATATACCTTGTACCATAGATAATGAAAGAAATCAGATGGAAAATGAATAAAATCTTTAGTAAGACGAACAGATAAAAATGCATATGACAATGAAATCGTGAAATTTATGTTAAATGAGGTAGATTTCAGATTTAAAGATGATATGACTGGAAATAAGAAATTGTAGATCTATATAAGGAAGCACGGGAGAATGGATTTTGAATTTGYATTTGTGCTTTATAATGAGGGCTTATAAAGCTTTGTCCTTTTTAAATTTTTTGGTTTTTGCTTTCCCCTATAACCACTTAACTTCCAAGCGCTTTTTCTAGAAAGCGAAGCTCTAACAAGAAAAATGCTTTCAGAAAGTGGCCATGATAATTAGCGGGAAAACAAAGCAATTCAAGATGACSAAAAAACACATATTGATTTTTCCGTGCTGCCTTGATCGATGATTTGATTGCTTCATAAGTGAAACATCCCACTAAAAAAAGAATTATATTCAAATTTTCAATAAAAATCATAGATATTTGAATAAATAGACAGAAAAWCAAAAAATCTTTCTCCAATTCATGTGCAAATCAACATATCATACATCAGTGTCTAGATTTGATGATATAAATATTATGACAGCATACTTATAAAATYAAGTAGACATTATTTCAAGAACATAGGTTTTATTACAAATGATTTATATAAATAATACGAAAACATGTAATATTGTGTATTATGTAATCCGATCAGGTACTGATTTATAGCAAAGTAAATTAAAATATAATCAAGCAAGGAAATTAAATAAAAAACTAGAATATAATTGACATCTTGTGTCAGTCTTTTTGTTGTTGTTTTCAATCTCTTGTCCAACAACAAGTTTTGTTTATAAATATATATTGTTTCTTTTGTACGTTTTATTCGTAGAATTTGTTTTATTGTTGCACTCTTTTGTTTTGTATCCTTCACTATTCGTTTGGTCTCGTTAAGAGTATTTTTAAGTAGGGTAAAGTCAAAAAAGCCTCGAATAGATATTACAAAAATAAAAGCTTGAAACACTAATTACTAAACTGTATAAAGAATAATATTACTTATTTTTTACTTTTTCACTGAAAGTACTATATGTTMAAGAATCCGCACAAACATTTAAGCGAAATATTTAAGTCCAAATTTTAAGAAAAATCACGTTTTTGTGGAAAAAACAAAGTGCATATGTTAAATACGATGTAAATCACAAACGTTTTCCCTGAATTTCATAAATTGGTAAAAAGTGAAGCTGGATTATTTATAACTAAGCTATAACTCAGCTATGACAATTTTCTAAGAAAATACGTAATATTTTACTGAATTCATCTGACTGAGCTTCCTATCTTGGTATGCTTTTCAAAGGGTAATCATTATCAATCTAGGTGTCTGGGATCCTCGCTACGCCCCCTAGCTCATGAATTATTTACGCCTTATGTGCGCGAAGGAACAGTTTTCAGCTCAAGCATGCGCAAATCCTTATTAAAGAAATACTTCAGTAACATACATCAACACATCAAAGTGAAAATGATAATTCTATATATATACTATATTAAATTGGAACTGGAAAAAATGACGAAAAAAGAGCAAAACACAGTTTAGTTAAAACAAAAAATACTAAAGACAATTTTAAACGTCTATATTAATAGCTCTAATGAGAATCACTGCTATCCTAAAACCCTGAAGAMCATTGACAGAATAGATTTAACGACATTTTTTCGCAACAGCAAAAGAGAACATCGCTGGGTGTCGAACCACATATCAAAAGTTAGCGATGTAAATATGGCATCAATGGAAACTAGCCAATAATATAACAGCAAAAAGATACATAAAACATACAATGCCAAAGGAAACGAAGCTCAGGGCACGATTAAGTAAATAAAACACAAACATTAGTCTTAACCACCAACCAATCAGAGAATAGCAAGTACCTGTTGTTTTATCACCATAGAAGCTGTGACGGCGGGAAGTAGCGTCCGCCAAAATTACAGAAAATAAAATGGCAAGAAGGCAAATAAAATGGGAATCGTGAGCAGATAAAGAAAAAAGCAGGTAGGAGGTTAATCAAAAATGTTCAAACTACACACGAAATAAGGTGATAGTTAGAAGAATTTCAGATATTTCATATTAAGCCATGCAACTAAGTTTTGCGATGAGAGCTTTTATAATGCGGATTGATCAATTCATGCAACCAAGACAAAATATGTTATTGACTCCTTTATAATGACGAAAAACACATAGGAAATTCACAGCAAAAATAAGATATGACATGTAAAATGACTGCATTGTAGCTTTATCATAGTCAATGTCTCAGCAATAATTTCAAGTCAAAACGGGCAAAAATAGTTTCTATAACACATTTAAAGCATGCATAGCTGTAGAGATCCGAACGGGTATTTTTTGATGTTGTTATGTACAGCCAGATTAAAAATACTTTTTCTACAGAAAAAGAAAGGATACATGTTTTACACAGGATTATTGTTGCGTCTTGTGGTTAGATAGCCCACTGATGGCACTTCAAATGATACTGAAATACAAGACATACAAGACATACTGGCATMCGAGATTTTACATAGTGGTTCTTAAAACATCAAAATATTAGCATACACTACACTAATAGTTCTCTACTGCTCCTTCTTTAACTGAAATACTTCGTGTCAGAAGACTGCATAGATATACGAGAATACAGTGGGATTTTGCTCTGAAAAAACCAAGAGCTATAGCTTAAGGATTGTTATATGCCTTAAACTGCAATACATAGTGTAGAGGTAGTCTAAGGGASTGTATAGAGAGCAGCAAATCTATCGCCTTTTCTTTTGATATGCACTTGTTTGTAAGAAGGTTATCACCAGAATACAAATTRAGCATTTGTGACTTAATGGGGAAGGAATTCAATGAAAGACAAACGAAGATCACGCAMGATGCATTCTCTAATTCGCCTCAGGCCTTGTCCACACGCCACCGGAATTTTTTTATATCTATACATATTTTCTATTTCAGGGATAAAATCTGTCTCAAAGTGAAAGTCATGAAAAAACGGCGAATACAGATTGACACAAAAAAATGTTTATCAGTGTATTTTCCGGATACACTGGAGATTTCCGGCTCCAGTATTGCATGCATCTCTTTTTTATTGAATGTTCTTTCTGCTTATGASAACGTTCTTGCCTTTAAAAGTACAAAGACAAAGAGATTAACCCATTCAAATAACCTGGTAAAGTCACTTTCTCAATATCGGTGGCTTGAACCACTTCGTCTAATTTTTTCCTACTTGCTCATTTGAATATTATAGGAAAAGGCTATTCTTCAAATAGAAAAAAGTCATAAAACGTGAATAACGTAACTTAAGAAATTCTATAGTTGTATCGACAGACGGCGACAAAGCAATTATAAATGCACCCAAGCTCTTTAAACTCAATTGCAACCATCACGAAAAACAAATAGTTAGAGAGGTGTAATTAGGGAATACAAGCGTACTGGTAAATTGACGAATGGGGATTTCCTGATTCTATTGAGATCCTCTCCATGTCCACGATGAATCAAATAAATTCATGATATCGCAATCGCAATAAAACTCTTCCCCACAATAGACCAAAATAATGAATAGCAAAAATGTAAATACAAGGCACATAGATGCACCAACTCAAAATCTAGATCGAGCAAAGAATGGGAATTATTCACAACAATTAATCTCAGAACTTGGATGAACGTATGGTATACGCAAACTGAATTAATGAATATATGATACATGATAAGTTAAATACAATTCTTGTTATAAAAAAGCCTAAGTGGAAGCCAAAATACACTGATGAGTTGGCTTAGATTAAGTTTCTATGTTGTATCTGGAAAAGAATAGCTCTAATATTGGAATACAGCTTTCTTATTTGTTCATTCATAAATATCTATATAATCTATACAGTTTCAACGGGTAAGAAATGATAAAAACCGTTTCCATAGAAACTCGATGCTTCTTTAAAAATTTGCTGACGAATTTCAAATTATCATTGTAGCTTGGCTACCAAGCAAAGCTTTTTACTGWAAACATTAGACCTTAAATTGTCAATATTAGCTGCCATATTTGGCGATATGTTGTTTAAGCAGCTGATACCCGGCAACAGACAAGGAGAAAATTTATACAAACGGTAGTAGCGAATGTAATTTAGCAAACGCTAATGTGTATTATTACTAGATTTACTTCTGCCAAACACTTATATTTCTCAGGTGATACTGGATCTACAGCGAAGATAGCAAAGCCAAAATGACTCAGTCTCAAGAGAATACAAATTTGAGTCTCGACAGCTCGGACGATGACGGTGAACATAATGGCCTTCATTCAGCGCAGGAAAGCTACAGAAGCGAAATTGAAGATATTGTCAAGGGATTCATCTTGGAGAAAGATCTGATGTCACAGGGACACGAAGAGGAAATGCTCAGAATGAAACAGAGCTTTGATAGAGAGAAAGCTGATTTATTACGACACTTAGAAGAGGAAAGAGAGGTTTTAAGACATAATTCAAGGATGACATCCGTAACAAGTAATGAGACTGGATACATATCAGGGTCACATGACTCAGACACTCTTCATTTGAATCTTTATGGCGGGGAAATTGCCGGTATTTCAGGCGTAAAAAGGGATTCTAGCGCCTTGACATCTGCACGCTACGACATTGACGATAATTTGGTAAAAGATATAGCAGAGGTTTATCTGAGACTGAACAGTGGCATGACGACAAGTCGAATAAGACCAGACTTGGACATTGAGGATAAATTCGAGCGTGAGAGAGAGATTTTCGAGAGAAAATTCATAGCAGAAAAACGAGAATTAAAGAGAAAACTCGAGGAGGAGTACAGTTATAAACWAGAGCAAGAGAAAAGTCGTTTTGAAAGCCAAATTCAAGAGATGAAGTCAACAATCACGGACCTACAATGGCAAAAGAGAGAAYTGGAGAGTAAAATCAGAAATGAAAAAGAAAAATGCGAGATTAATTTTGAAAGAGAAAGAAATGAGATTGAAAAGCGACATTTGCAAATGGTCCATGAAATGAAAAGGAGAATCGAAGAAAAACATTCTAAAGATATTGTACATCAAAAGGACAAATACGAAGAAAACATTTCAGAACTCCAAGCTGACATCACTAAACTCACCACACAGCTAAGGGAACTGAACGAAAATCTTCGACAAGAAAAGGAAATTATCATGAACAAATTTGAGAAAGAAATCAAAGAAATGGAGCAAACTTTCTCCGAGCAGAGAAGCTCAATCAAATTGAGCTTGGAAGCAGAGTTTGCCCTTAAGCTTGAAAACGAAATATCAGTCTTTAAAACCATAAATAAAAAACTTCAGGATGATTTTGAAGCTTTGGAACGCGATAAAAAAGATTACGAAAGGAAACAAAAAGAAGAACGAAGGAAAATCGAAGAGCGCTATGAAGAAGAGATATCTGAAATGGAAAAAAAGCATTCCGAGGAAAAGCGCAACATAAAGATAAAGCTAGATGAACGGTATCAACATATGATTACAAACGAGAAAACTTCTTTAGAAGTGACGGTCAATGAGCTTCGAGAAGAAATTGTTCTACTCAGACAGGACAATGCGCAAATTGAAGCCGCCTTTGACAACAGAAACGCTGAACTCCGCCGTCAGTTGGAATTGGAGAGAGATGGGTACAGAAAGAAGTTCCATGATGCTGAAAATGAGATTAAAATACGACTAGAGAACGAGTTTAGTCAGAAAGTAATGAATGAGAGTTCTGGCCATCTCGAGCTGGTTCAGCAGCTTGACAGAGACCTTGGGATCATGAAAGCCAGGTACGGTGAAGTCGAAGGAGCAATGATGGCATTGCGTCAAGAACGAGATTTACTTGCCAGAGAAAGAGACGAAATGCAAAGAAAACTTATGAATATGGAATTTGAGATAGATAGGAGGAAGAACACTCCACGAAGTTATATAGATGACACTGAGATTGACAAGCTAAAAGAAGCTATCAGAAATAAAGATCAAGAAATAGCGAATACGAAACTACAAAAAGAACAGATTGAAATTAGCATGTCTGGTTTAAGAAGAGAAAAGATGGATTTAGAAGATGAAGTAGCAAAGTTGAAAAAGTCCGTTCCTGTTTCTGGAATAATGGACGAAAGGCCATTAAGGCCAAATGTGGAAAACAGTGAGTTGGTATCTTTGCAACAAAATGCACGGCGTAAAGATGAAGAAATGCAAAGTTTGAAACGAGACAAGTTCGAGTTGGATTCGCGTATTTCGTCCCTACAAAGAAAAAACGACGAGCTTGAAGATGAGTTGTCAGTCCTTCGGAGGAAAAAGCTTGAAGTTGAAGACGACATTTCATCCGTGAAGAGGGATAAAGCCGACTCTGACAATCAAATCAGTGTTTTACGAAAAGAAAAAATGGACTTTGAAGAAAACATAATCGCCCTTAAAAGAAAACAGACCGGACTAGATGATACAATGTCTGTTTTACAAAGAGAAAACATGAATAAAGATCATGAGATAGCGCTCATGAAACGAACAGTTGACACAATGACAGATGAAATTAATGCACTAAAGCAAAAACTTTCAGGAAGCGCGAAAGAAAATATGCACGTACAGGAACTTCACACACCAAAAAGTGAACGACCAACGTCGAGACAAATAGCAAATGAAGACCGCCTTTTAAAACCACACGATAACTACAAATACATGGAAGACCAAATAACTAAAGAAACTGTTCAAAATGTGTATGGTGAAACGCAAAGTGGCTACGATGATTTAAACCAATCATTGCAAAGTATTGAACAAGATGTCGAAGAATTAGTACGACAAAAGAAAGATCTGGAACACTCAGTGAGAGAACTGACAGACAGCAAGGCTCAACTTGAACGAAACATCGCAAAACTACAGAAACAACACGGAATGGCTTCACAAGATCACCGGCAACAACAAATAACTCAAAGAGAAATTGGAGAGCTTGAGACAAGAAAACAAGACCTAAAATTCGATGTTGAAAATCTTGAGGAGAAAAAGGAAGCTTTAGAAATAGGAATTCGTTCGTTTGAACTCCCAAATAGATCGACATTGCAMGWCGACTCCTTTTCACAATCATTCGTGCGAGATGGAAATGAAATGAGCCATGAACCTCGACAAAGAAACAGAAGAAAACAAGAAAGAGACAACGTTGTTAATACATTTGATATATCTAGGTCTTGTAGCTCTCCAAAAATACAAATGTTTGAAAAAGACATTGAAGAACTTGAGACAAAACGAGTGGATCTTGAAAATATAGTAGCACAACTTGACGAACAAAGAGCAAGTTTACGTAGAGAGATTTCTGATTTGAAGTATCAACTTGAAGATGAAACTGCGACACAGAAAGAAAGTTTGAGTGACACCTTGGCAGGGCTTAAAGACGAGTGTACAGATTTAGAAAACTGTATCTCTAGACTGCGTCGAGAAGAAAGCGGATTAGAAGGTCACATAAAAGATTTGAAAGTAACCGAACAAGACCTTAGCAAAAGAATAAGGGATTTAGAAATCAGCGAGCAAAGAGTCCAAAAAGATATTTTGCGACTTAAAGACGAGAAGACAAAACTGGACAATGACAGGCAGCAAACACATGGAGATGAGGACACAACCTATGGAAACCAGACTCAACAAGGAACAGGTAGACGCTTTACAGGTGTTTCCCAAGTCAGCATTGAGAGGGTAAGAAAACACGACAACAAAGATCACGAGCTTGCCGAACTACGTAAAGAGAGAGACAGTTTGAAGAGAGAGATTGCCATACTTAGGAAGAACATGGACGGGAAGAACAATCACAGCTATACGAACCAAAGAAATACGGACCAGCGAAATACATCAAATGAGATGGTTTTTACCAACGACATGAAACAGATGGAGCACAATGAAGTCGTTGCACTAAAAAAAGAAAGATTAGAGATAGAGAAAACCGTAGCCACGTTACAAAGACAGAAAACAGAAACCAACGCTGAGATAAATGTGATACTGGAAATAAAGAAACGTGAAGAAGACGAATTAAACTCTCTGCGTCGTGAGCGCATTGAGCTKGAAACTGCGGTGACCACTTTACTGAGCAAGAAAACAAGGCTTGAAGCTGAGCTATCCGTAATAACTGAAGAAATGAAAAGGGACGACGATGAGGTGAACTCACTTCGACGACAAAAACACGAAATTGAGAAAGAGTTCTATGACCTTAAGAGTAAAAAAACGAAAATCGAATCTGATATCTCTAGGGTAGAAAGCTCGTGGAAGAAAAGGGACCAAACATCAAAAGAATTCTACACTGACACAAAGGACATAGAGAATGATTTGAAAACAATGCGCAAAGAGCGCACTGAGATCGAATCAGATATCAAAAGGTTGCAGTCTGTCAGAAGCAGGGAAGAGCACGAGCTGAGCGTATTAAGAAAGCAACTTAAGGATCTTGAATATCAAATATCAGAGTTAAAAGCTTCTGAAAAGATAACAAGAAGCCTCGTCGTAAAAGCAGAGAGAAATATCTGGGACAAGCCCTATGCTGCACAAAGCAGTAAAGACGTAGACATTCCTGAAACGTATGACAAGGGATCTAGTCCCCAGCCTCCTCTATCTCCAGGGCAACGTGTGAGAACAAGTATTGAGATTCCTTACATGGCAGTTCCTGGGCCTGATGGTCGATGGAGAAGAAGCTTTGATGCTACTGAAAGCGAGACAGTTATGATTCCAGAATGCGATACCGAGTTTTTACAACCTGAAAGATATCAATCAACTGAAAGTATTCCTACTTATAACACCTGGTTCACAGAAAGCAATAATCACGTGACGCCACAATCAAATCATAATCAGTATCCTGGTAGTTCATATAACAACCAAAGCCATCCACAAAGCATTGCATTCGATGTAGGTATTTCAACAAGCTGTCCCACCGGCGGAACTGAAAGTCAGGAACAACAAGTGCATGGAAGTAGGCAGTACCCAGATATCAAACATGATAGGGTTGGGGAAGGAATCACTTCCTCTCTAAGTTATAACTCTCATCAGCATAAGGACTTRACTACTGAGCAAAAACGCAGTCAGTGGGAGACTTCAATAAATGGTCATGTAAAGGAGGATAATGATGTCATTTTCTTACGAAGAGAGAAATATGAACTTCAGTCACAGATCAGCGAGCTGAGAATTACCCTGACAAGGCTTCAAGCAGAAATCAATGAGCTGGAAAACCTTAAGATGGTTAATGAGACACTAAATGTACAAAATGGACGATATAAAGTACAACATAGTGAAATCGATTTGCAGAAAGAATTGAACTCAGAATTGACCAATGCTAGACTTGAGGTATGGAAAGAATTCAAATTTTCTTTTGAACACTTCGGTTACTTTTTCAGTAAAATTTCRCCTATTCAGCATTTTTTACTTTGCATTTTTGTCTCATTTTTACGGTCCAAAATTAGAAATCTTTTATATTTCTCTTTCATTCATTTTTCCCATTTCAGCCATATTTCAAAGTCACTTTTAAAAGCAAAAAAAAATACCAATAACTCTTATGCTCGCACACAGGAAACGAACGACAAGTTAAGGCATGAATATGAAGAAAAGATAAGGGAATTGAAAGAAGAAAACTCAACACTAAAGCAAAAGGTTGGGCTGCTTGAGTGGCAAGTGGAGAATACCAAACAGAAAATGGAAATCCAAGAAATGAGTTTTAGAAGAGAATTAAGTGCAGTCAAAGAAAAGGTAAAAAACCTTGCYTCCCTTCATATAAATACAGTAAATGAGGATCTTTGTTTACAAAATTGTGCTGATTAGCTTATTATGCCATAGTATTTTKATATTTAGTGGTTATTTGGGCAAGAAGTGCTAATGAGTAAAAATGTAAACATTGATATTAGCAAAGATTTGCCTCTGTGATCTTGAAATTATAAGCAGCCTACTCCTATTCTAATGTCTCAAAGAAATTCAGTATGTGTGACATGCAGGATTTTATAATATGTGTGACCCAAGGAGTGTACAAAAAAATTAGTACTAAATACAATTTGATTGTATCAAGCATTTGCTGCAAGCACTCTGCAAGTTACTAACCTATGCAGATGATGGGCCTGATAAAGAACATTAGACGAATATGAAAATCCTAAATTAAATCTTATTTGCAATCATGCTCTTATTTTTTTCCCAGTATGCAGTCTGCTTAAGACAATATTATCTGCAATATCATAGCAGAGAACATTAACTAATTTGTATTTCATAATCCCACAAAATKTCTATATTTTACAGTATTCCATGGCTGAAGGAACAACTGTCATAGATATGGAATCCAATTCCACTAAATTGAAAGAGTTCTATCAGCACCTTAACTACTTGATAGTAAGAGATATAAGCAGCGAAGAAATACTGAGGGAAATCCGTACTGCCATCAAAGAATTGGAACAACAAAAGGTCAGTCTTATTTGCAATATTAAAAGATAAAATAATTTAAGATAATGGTTACTTAAAATACAATTTATAAAATAAAATAAGGAGTCTAACCATGATTAAGCGTGGACTAGGAGTCAATTAAGGGAGGTGTAGAAAGGGAGTTCTTTGAGAAGAGAATTTGAATGAAGCTTTTACGTCATGAACAGAATTTACACAATGCATTGATAGAATATGTTTGGGACAGAACATGGTAGAATTCTTTTGTTTTCTCATTGATTCAACCAATGCATTGAAAATCAAGTAGTAACATGAAATCAGAAGTCTATCCTTATTCATTTGATATTTATATTCAATTATTTTAGATCAGATCTGTCTCTCATCCATGTTGCTTTTTTTAACTTAATGTTTTGTACCTGTTCAAATTCTGTAGAGGAGGATTTCCCAGTGAGGTCATACACTTGTACAGGCAATGACAAAACTTGATTATCAAGTCGTTTAGAGTCACCATCAACTAAAATCAAATAAAARAATTTAAATCAAAATATACTTACAAAATGGATTATTCATATACCTTACACACTGTACTATGCATAATTAACAAACTATTTGCATTGTTTAAGTCAAATTTTAACACATTTACTTAATTTACAGGTTGTAAACTTCAATCACAAAAATTCAAGCTCTAGTAAAAGTTCGTATTCATACGATGCCAAAACGACYACTAATTCAAGTACKAGACTTGACAATGATGAGGCGAAAGCCGCTAAGGAATGTGCCAGACAACTTAAAATACAGGTAAGAGATCGTAAGATAGAATTGAAAAGATATTTGAAGTAGATTCGATGAGTTGTCGAATGTACAAGTAACCCCATAAAACTCCGTCAGCTAAATAGGATTTCCTCCCCTCAAACTAGAATGTTTCGATTATGTGACACATCATAAGTTACATGTGAGATTTTACTTGTATTTTAAGATGAATTTCAATGTTAAAAACTTAGTATTACCTTGTTATTGTCTGCGAAAACCCTTCACCACATAAACTGTCTGCATTGCTTCCCAGACTCAACTTTTCCCGCCAAATCTACGCTACCGCGCAGACTAGTACCTAGTCTCTTGAAAATCGGAATAATCATCGTATTTGTATTTTCACATTAGTTGGAAATAGCTGACAAACAACTCAAGACATGTGAGAAGATCATCCATCGTCTTTATGCGGAGAACAGCGATCTTAATAAAATGGTTCACAAGCTTGAAAGTAAACTAAAAACAGCTACAAGATCAACAGAAAAGCTAAACCGAAAGCGCGTGCTACTGCAAAAACTTGTGGAAAAACTGAGCGGTCATGTTGGCAAAGATCAACTTCGTCAATCATACMTTGTGTTGGAACTTGATAAAGATATTACTATTTAATAACTTATWTATATACTAGCATTTAGTGTACCGATGTCTTTATATATACACTAGAATTTAGTGACATTACAAATCGTTTTGGTTTTATTTTTTGCCATATAATTAACAATTAGACGAGGTCGAGTGGACTACGAGCTAATAGCCTACGAGGTCGAGATCCGCGAGGCCGAATGGGCTATTAGCTCGTAGTCCAAGAGGCCGAGAGGTCTAATTGTTTTATAGTATAAACATACTAATCGGTCAAATAATGAAAACAAATTGAAATATCCTTAAAATTATAATTTATAATTTATTCATTTTGAATTTCCCCCGAGTGGTCTATCACAAATTAGACCATTGGCAGAGTAGCCAATCACAGCGCAGTATGAGTGATAGACCATTAATATGTTTATACTAAAAGGCAAGTAGTCATTGATAAAGATTATCAGGATTTGTACTATATGAGAATCCCCTAGCCCAGCGGCATGCATGGTTAGCATCAGTCCGGTGTCAGTGGAGTTCACACATTTTAGCAGGAGTATTCTCCTCTACAACCTAGACCTTACCGACCCTTCCATTTCAACCCCCAACCCTTGAACTTAGTCCCTTCTCCCAGGATGAATCTTTGTCCGAATATATGGACATTTTCATAATTATTTCGAATAAATACCGATCTGTGTATATTGTTGTAATACATATATGTGGAACTGAAAATTCTTATAGTAATAGTTTTGTTAAAACAAATTATACTAAAAAATTTAGTCGAGCTCCGTTTCGGAGATTTCTACAACAGCAGTTGGTTGTGTGCATAGACGGTTGACTTTATAACCAATTTTATATTGTTTTTATATATCTTATTATAAATTTATAGAAGGGAAGTAAACAAAAATTGACTACAATAACTGATGTTAATATGAATTTAGATTCGTTTTGAGAGATCGGCATTTCTTTACAAATGTATGATAATGAATATACAGATTGTAGTCCAATAAATTCAGTAAAAAAAACAATCAAAGCACTTTCTACGGAGCCCTYGAAGGGCTGAACTATACACCGACAGACATTTCTGAGGCTAATGAAAATCACTAAAAAGTCAATGCAATGCTTTTCAGCAAAAATCTTCACACAATAATCATGCTGCACTTTAGTGCACGATGCCAACACGAACGTCAGTGATGGCAAGAAAAAGAACAAGAGTGTTAGCAGGTGTTCGCAAAGATGGTCTCTCCAAATATGTCACGATGGTCAAGAGGTTTATATAAACTGTGTTAGCACACCCCTAAAAGCATTAAATCATCGGCATACACCATTTGTGACATGGGACCTTTGTCGTGGAGATGTTCCATGGTCAGTTGTGTTTTAAATTCGAACTTTGCGTACTACATGAGATTTACTGGACAGAGAAAAACGTGTAATGACTTTCTTTTAAAAAATTATGTAAGGAAATTTAAACGTAAAAAAGTGGGGAAGAATACCAATGCCTTCAGGTTATTTCTCAAGATGGCCGACGTCTAGTTTCCAGACTCATACATGTTTAAAAGAGCGTTAAAATCCGGGTCCCTGGAAATAGCGTTACAAGTTACGAAGTTACAAAGTTACAAAGTTACAAGGTTAAATTCTGTTACATTTCTGTCAAGAATATGTCAACAAGCCCTACTGCTATTACTAACTATATTATTATTATATACTTTTAATCTTATGCGTTAGACTAATATCTTAGAAAAAAAAACTTGTTTTTCTAAAAACTATGGCTATAAACTAACTAAGTATAAGGGAGAGAACCTGGTCCTTTGCTTTGAAAAAAAGTTATAATTGTGACTAAGCGGGGGAGGGGTCAGTATGGTTTGAAATGTCCAACCCTGATCGTATCAACTTATCAAGGCTCGACCTTCCTTCATGTATACAACACTGGGTTCCCAAAGGGTTAGGTTTAGGTTATATTGAGGTATGTAGAGCGTATAATGCGTGTTGTATACATTGAGAAAGAGCCCGACCTTCGACGATATCGAAACGAAATTGCATGTGTGGATGGAGAGTTTCTCTGGCATAATCCGAGGGAATATTGGCGTGATTCACATTTTCGAAGGAGCTAGAAATTAATTTCTGGCGGTCACTGTGGGGTTGACCCAGCTACCTTCCCTTCTTTTTAGAGCGAATGATAACAATAGCRATAAATRGCTCAAAATAGCTCAAAATGGCCTGAAACTCAACCGGAATACAAAGAAAACCCCAATAAACAGGTAGAGATGTTTATTTTTTATTAAACTAGCATATTTCGCAAAATTACTAAAAACGGTTAAAATGTATAGCTTGGGCTACCTGTGACTCAAGATATACACAAGAATTCAGTAAGTGAATTTCTAAGATACTCAAAGCTATAACAAATACAATCATTGTTCAAAAACTGGCGACCTTCATGGTTAAAAGGTGGCCATCCTGGTGCCCTTGCACCGTGCGACTTCTCATTACAGACATCACATGTACATCAGTACAGAGGTACCAAAGGCTTATGACGATGAAAGGACCTCGTTCTCTCCCTTTATAGTTAGCTAGTTTATAGTTTTTAAGTTTTTTTGGACTAAGATAGTCAATTCAGGTATGTCTAACGCATAAAATTAAAGTATATAATAATAATATAGTAATAGTAGAAGGGCTTGTTGACATGTTGTTGGCATATTCTTGACAGAAATGTAACAGAATTTAACCTTGTAACTTCGTAACTTTGTAACTTCGTAACTTGTAACGCTATTTCCAGGGACCCTTAAAATCCCCGCTCTTTGCCCCGCTTCGAAATCGCGACCCCCCGGGGCAATCTTGCTGTTAAAACCACGTTCAAAACGCGTCCCGTCCCCGTTCTGTGCCCCGCTAGCCCCGGGGGTCGAGGGGCGGGGGTTTCAATTGACTAGTGCATCAAATTGCATTTTCAAACTGAACCAAAACATCTATATACTTTTTCGCTTTATCTGCGCAGTCACGAATTTAAATTTTAAGTTAAAAATTACCAATGACACAAAAGTCGGGAAAGTCCATAGTTTTTCTTTAAAGTATCAAAGTTAATCGCGAGCAAAGTGGAGACTGTGGTATGTACTTTTATTTACCACGGCTCTCGACCAATCAGAAAGTGAGAATATTATCATATGTGGTAAAACAACTTGTACAGTTCAACAGCACGTTGTTGATGATGATGGCTGAGTTCCGGGCGTAAAGATGACCAGGCCATCGATTGAAGAAACTTTTGTTTCTTGTGCATTTTCGCTTATTTGAATAAAGACCAAGGCTGTTTAATTTTTATGACCCGGCCTCGCCATATATATTTTTAGATAATTGAGTCAGTAAAAGGAGCTTCATAAACAGGCAAAATATATTCAATTACAAAGCTTGCTTATTAAGTGCTGGGGCTGAAAGAAAAGGATGCTGAAAATAGACAGAGATGGAGAAGGTGGATCGTGTCCACCCACCCACAGCCAGGGAATTAATAATGGTAAAGGAAAGAATAAGCATCCCTGCCTAAGAAAAATAAACAATGAATTTTTTTTCGATTCTATTACACTTTAATACACTAATTGAACTAAATGCACTAACATTTTCAGACACATAATTGATAAAACATTAAGTTATTAAAACTAATTGTGGAGTGCAAAAACAGAATATACTATTTTTGTACACTATATATTAATCAGTTCTCTTTAGCCTATAATTTAGTTCAAAACAATTTGCATTCTGTTAATGTTTGTCAAACTATTAAATCACTCTAATTATATGGAAATAACTGTACTGCAATTATAAATCAAACCAGTTCAAACTTGAAATTTAAAAAAAATCATACTCTTTAAAACAATATTTTTAATTTTATATTAAATTCATTTCCGAGAGAAAAAAGAAATGTAAAATCAATAACTTAAATTCACTGCTGACCTAGAAAACATGCACTGCAATAGTGTCAGCTATGTACATTTCTACAGAAAATTCTGCTTGGATTTATAAAACACATTTTTGAAAGAATGATAATTATTTAATTTTAAATGTTATAAGATTTTAAAGAATAAAGGAAGAAAATACAAAGGGTCAAAATCAGACAACCTTACCTCTTTAGTTATCTGCTAAAAACATTTCCATTTCTGGAGTGGATATTTACTAAGTAAAAGAAAGGAGAAGTTTCCCCAATATGAACAAAAAAAGGAAATTATCCTAGTAAAGGAAATGTAAATAAATCCTTTAGAAGTTTCTTTAATACATGTATAAATTGTATATACATGTGGCTTTAGAATAAATCAACAGTATATTACTCCTGTATCAAACCCAAATAAGTGCTCCTAAGTCTTGTTAAAAAAGTTTTGATCAACACCCAACACCACCTAAAACCCAGCGATGGTCTCCAAGGCGACGCCTCATGCGTACAATACTGGAGTCAATTAATGCAGCACGGTTCTTGTCCCTGGCATCTTCATCAACTCTCTGTTTTGTCAACTTCAGAAGGCTTATATTGCGTGCTGTAGCATTGAGGGACTCCTGCAGTCCCATGCCACCCCTCCCTAGCTCACGTGCCTCAGGCAACTGGTTGCCAGGATGACGCTGGAATACAGATACCATTGGCCTGTCAAGACGCTCTCTGGAGGTCAGGTCTGAATAAGCTACTGGGCCCTAAAGACAGCAAGCATTTTTTTAAAACATCATAAACAAATCTTCATTAATATAAAAAATAGTAAGGAATTCAAAAATATTATCAAAATATCAAATACTAACCAGAGTGTATCCCAAAGCCATCTCAGTAGAATCATGCCATCTTTTGTTGCGATGTATTGCCATGCGCAATTCACCACCACCAACTTGAAGGTGTTGCTAAATTGAAACATACTAAATTTAGGCAAAAAATACAAATCCATTTAAATAATKAACATGGATATTCACCATGCTGATGATTCATAATATTAGAATATTATAAATGCAAGTCCTTAATATTTACATATATTTTTACTTAAATGCATGATAATAATTATACATAGTACGATAATGGAGTTTGTACGGTTATATATAATATACCAATGTCACCATAATATTATATATCATTTTATGCTTATATTTTAGTAATTTCTCTCACCCTCATTGTGACAGTCTCAGCAACTTTCTGTGTCACACCATCATTCACAGAATTATGAGCAGCTTTCTGTAGCTTTATAGTCTGCTCAATAGCCTCAGCAACCTCCTTTCTCAGGGTGCTAGACCTCTCTCTAGCATCAATAGCTTCAGATATGACTCTAGCACACTCTGGTGTATAAGGACCCAGGGCCTCCACAGGAGGGGTTGAAGGCTTCTCTAACTGGTCCTTTATGCCTGCACCACGGACTGAGGAAACAGCATGACATATCAGATCCATGACTCGAGATCTTTCACTCAGGGCTGCAGTTAGCCTCTTCCTTGAACAATCAAGAACCTGGAGTTGTTTCTGGACTGATCTCAATTGGGCTTCCAGAATGCGTTTAAGTTTTAAAAGGTGTTGCCTCTCAGATGCTAAGAGATCATCAGCTCCATCACCACCCTGAAAGAAAGATTGCAGTTGCCTAATTATCATATTACACTGGTATATGCTTCAATAACTTGATATCAGCCAAAAAAGTATGCATAATTTTTTTTGTGACTGTACACTGCATTAATATCAAAGAAAAAATACATAACACTGTATCTTCCTACAAAATTTTTGTGCATTTCTATACAGGCTTTCAGTAATTACAATATAGAGTACAGTTTTGAAACGAAAACAGATATAATTCAAAATGAAAGTATTGAAATTCAAATATAGATAATTTCGCCTTTTTTCTCTCTCCATTTCACCATGTTTCCATACATGTAGAAACATCAAAAATGGGAAAACATTAAATTCTTTGTTTCAAATATTTTAAACCATATTCTTCATGTGTATAAAAAATAATATGAAACACTACTCGACACTTTTATCCATAGATATCTTTAATTAGAGAAAAATTCTTGTGAAGTCTAATTCAACTGGTAAATGATGAAAAAAATATATATTTAAAAAAGGTCTTGGAATCATTAAAATCACGAACAAACAATAAAATAGGTCAAAAGCGTCTGAATAATATAACCCATGACACCCGATTCCGGTCCTGTATAGTTTTAATGACTGCTCTTCAGCCAAAATTGCAACAGTTTAGTGCTAAAGGCTTTTAGCTGTTCACAGCTGTAGAAACTGGTATTCAAAATAAAATACCTATTTCTACTTTGCTGTTATATCATTATCAACAAAATAACGCAAAGCAATTAGTTGTCAAGGATAGTTACCTTCTCTCTTGCCGGCCTGGTCTTTCTTTGAGAAATTGATTGAAGATTAAGCKTGATATCTTTACGAATGTGTTCAAGCGTCTTCTCCAAATGTTCTTTGCCTCTTATCAGTGATTTTATCTCTTCATTTGTGTCCAGTAGATTTTCTCTGAGTTTCACGAGAACTGCACGGGTAGCTCTAGCATATGCTTGTATCCGAGCATTGCTTTGTTGAATACATGTGTCTCTAAGAGAAGGCAACGGGTCTAGCTGCTGTCCCATATCGCAGGCTTTATCGCTTCTTCCGACGACCGTCTGAGCCAGTTTGATATTGCGAACGCTCGCATTTTTCCAGACGTCGGTGCCTATAGTATGTGATTTTTCCATGTTGAAGCTGTTTTAGTTCTTACGAACTTCAATGCTCGAGCATGGAATTTTTTGTTGTCTGAATGGAAAATGAGAAGCTRAGAATCGTTGCTAAGGAAACCGCGCGAGTCTCGCTCAATTAGATTGTGTGATTTCCACCATAATTAGTGTGATTAGCCGCTGACCGGATACATAAATGATTTTCAAAATGCTTTAAAAAATGATGTCTGTTTCAAAAAAAAACTTTTAAATCTTGAACAAATCTCATCAATTCATAGCAGTTTAYTGAATGAATAATATAGTAAGGTTTGGTAGACGATTTTGGTAACCAGTATTCCAAGGTTCTGTAGTCCAGAGTCCATTCTCATCAAGCATTTGCATATCTTTAACATAATTTTATGACGGACATCAAGACAAACTCAAGGAAAGGTTTTACTTTTATAACTGTAGAGAACAATATGAAATCGAGATATTAGTCTGTCATTAACTTCAGAAGTCCAATATATAATATGACTGATATTCAACTTCAAAGGGATACCTTTGGATACCTTCCATAGTGAGTATGAGCACATTGCTGTTCTTGTTATTTCCTTCTGACAATAGATACCTAAGTACATAGAAACATTTATCAGTTTTTTGTTTCTAATGATTTCTTGTTATTCTAGCCTGACACACTGGGCGCCCCACGAGCCGGCTATAAAGAAATCGCACGCTGGAAACTCAGACCACTGGGCAAAAATGAAACATAAGGTCACCTTACTATAATATACRTATATTGAATAGATTCACGCTTCGCAGTATGAGCAATATCACAAAATTAATTAGCTCTGATTACTTGTCTATATGGTATGCACGGACGTTTTATTCAAAGTCTTACGCTGGATAAAGATTCTGCACGAATAGTGATTAAAAGAATAACAATCTTTTCTGACAACTTTTTTGGGGGGTTGTGTTTATTCGTCTTAGACGAACTTCAAAGATTTTTTAGCAAAAACTGATCACTTCATTTTTCTGCAATGATTGTTTTACTAAGTGCAAACTTATTATGAAGAAACTAAAATAGATAACTCAGAAATTTTAAAATATTTCGTCATTTTAAGGGTATCAAGAAAGCGTCTCATTCCCTTCTTATTTTTACGTTTTCTATTTCAGGTAGCGAGTTTATCAATCCAAGATAGTTCGGGAAAGAACCGAGTATTTCACACTGACAGAATGAGACATGAGCGACCACCAGGTGAATAGATCAAAGCATTTTAATGTTTAAGTTTACTGTAACCCGTCAGGAAGCTTTAATGGTTGCCATGGGCAACTTCCTACCATTACGCTCAAGCGTTATTCCCGCTATATACAATCTTACAACAAATCGTTCTTAAATCAATTTTCTTGCTTCACTATTTTTCCTAGGCTGTTTTTCCTCTGATAAACCACTTAGAGAGGAAAATTAGTAATTTTGGATAAACAGTAATCCATGATAATTCCATAATTGCTCACGACGCCAAATTAGTGTCACGCATCATATATCACACAGGATTGCGTTACTTGTCCATTTTCTCTCATTTCCACGCAATAAAATTTATTAAGAAATGCCTCTAGCATACTAATGTCTTTCCCTCAGAAATTTCTTTCGGGGGGCTGTCTTTTAGATTTAGATTTAGTGTYTTTTCAGGTCGTTATGTTAAAAAGTCTATTGTGAAGGAAATATGAAAACAACTTAATTCTCTATTGTTCTCAATGTACAATAGCAARTTCTTATGAGTAATCATTTTTATCAATAAGTGTTATAGATACCTTGGATATAGTTCTTCATAGAATGCACAAAATGTYATGCGCGCAAACTCCATCACAGGCTGATTGATATTGGTATGAGCATGCGCAATTGTCGATCTCATATGCACTGTTTAAAGCAAAGAAACTCAAAAGGTTCATTTTTTTGTAAATGTATTTAGACTTATCTTAAAACAATATCAAAAAATCTGCATAAAGCATTGGATGATGCATTCCCTATAGTGTCTTTTCGTTATTAAAGCATTTGAAGATATGTTTCCATTGTCTGTATGGGATTGTTGATGGACCATGAGAAAGGTTTTGGTGGAATCATGGGTTGTAACCGTGCTTGAAAGCCGTGTTTCTATGCTCTCATAGAAACACGGTTTTTTGCACATTTCCACCAATCAATGCGTGCGTGATATAATGTTTAATTTATAATTATTAATCCAACATGGTGTTAGTAGTTCAATTTTTTATTTCTCATTGTATCTTGCCAGAAAAAGGATCCTTCGATAACGTAATACGTTTTCAGCATGAGATCGATGGTACTCTAACTCGTATAGGAGGTTCAAATTTCTCAGATATTATAGTAAGAGAGTTACATGGCAAATTACCAGGAGATTACACCAAACCGCGCCCGCTACCTCCTAAACTACTCAGGACCGCGGCAAACGCAAGAGCTAGAGAGGGTCACAAGTACTGGTACATGGAGAAAACCTTTAAGAAAGGTAAATAGCTTTAATTGTTGAGTCAGTAGCTTTTGCTTTGCGAAAGTATGAGTCCTTAGTGGAGAAAAACGACAATTTTACTATTTAATGTAAAAGTGTCCCAAGTTCTTTGAGTGCCCATAGTGCAAACTGTTCTGCAAGATGTGCACATGGAAGGATGCTCGAGCATACCTATACAGCTGAAAAAAATGTGCACGCCTCGCCATTTTATTGGTGTCACCGCCACCAAAAAAATACCATTTTTACAACTACGTCTCGCGGTGTCTTTTTTTCATCACATTTTGACGCCATTTGTGTATTTATTAGAGTACAGACACACGGAAAWATTGCAATCTGTCTGTTGATTAGTTTAGCTTTAATACAACAAATCCTTTACAAACTGTGCATTTCATACAAAATCTCATCTTTTTGTACAGATCCTGGTAAATATACTATGGGGTCAGCCAAGACATTTTTAGGTATTGGCAAGTAAAGACTAGTGTGACTCTCAACTTGTAAATAATAGTGTGTACTGTATGAAATAAAGGTGTGTTTTCAGGTTAACTAAAGGCCAAAACTATCCGTATCCCATGGTTACTCTCTGTTTATTATCCTTTCTCCTTAATCGATAAAAGTTCAAAAGGCGCTTATWATTTGTATCTGAGCTGACAGAAAACAACACAGGGACAAGGCTAAGCCCTATTCCAATATCTTCTTCGAAATTTGTTCTGTTATTTTCTGCTGAAATAACTACATAGAAAACAATGGTCGAAATGAAGCGAAGGAAGTGTTTGGTCTATCGTTTTGTTTGGTATAACTTGCAATTGTGGTTAAATTGAATGGAGAACGACCAAAAGGAAATATAAGAGTAATCAGAATATCAAATGAAGACAACAACAAAAGAATGTGCTTTCTCTAATATCGTTTGAAATATGCATTAATAGTATAAACTAAGTTTATACAAAGAAGTAWATATTTGTACAGGTCTCTATGCATTCCTATAAGTCCGTTGGAAAATCGGAAACGACGACTTATCTTTATCAAGAGGGAAACCTCTTGCTACTAGCTACCTCTTGCTACTAGCTTAATATAAACTGCTGTTGTTATAAATCATTACTTTTTCCATTATAAATGTTTCTAATTCCATTTTCATCATGTTATGAAATTCTTCTTGGACAGCGATGTTTTCTCTTTCGGTGCATGCGCAGCATTTGCTTGCCGTTTTCGTCCCAGTCTAGCGCAGTAGCTAGATTATCAACGTATAACACCTTTCTTCGTCTATCTTCTTTGCCAAGGAAGAGGTAGGATTTTTTTCTGATAAACTGGCTGCAATTGCAGGTCAGTTCTCTTCCACGGAGCTCGAGCAGTTGTCGTCTTGTTATCTTTACTCGTCCTTTTTTGTACTTTTTCGTTACACGTACACGGAGGTGGGATCGACCCCTCTTTTTTACCTCAGATTCAACCCTTGCTCTTATAACTGCAATTRAAATAAGATTTTGTGATTTTTTTTCTTTAATATGACCTTCTGCATAAATTATGTGTATTGATCGATGATAGTGATCATAATGCACACAGAGTGCAAACACTAAAAAGCGTGAAAAAGTAGAGTGGAGGATAAACTTCATCCGTGAAACTTAAATAACAGATCTCTTCATAGTTTTCTTTTGCGTCTGTTTGACTATCACACTTAACAATAGTTAAATTTTGTACCACGGGTTAAATGATTTTGCCCTACCCAAACGGTGCTAAATAGTGCATTATAGTGTAGACTAGATAATAGAAAGCAGCACTTTCATTACTAAAATTTTTCATGGTGTTAGTGTTTTCACTTAACTGTAAAAGKTTTTTAACTTTACCAAATRAAAATTGTGTCACTGCATTCTCACTTACCATAATCACTGAGACAAAATCGCGAGAGAATGTAGTTCTTGGTGCATCTCTTGTTGCACATCGTTGGTGCAATTGATGCCTGTGGAGCTGTACGTAACGAGTGATCTGTTCAACATTAATGCACAAAGTCAGAACCGACTACGAGCACAGTATTTTCATGATAGAAAATGTTATAGACGCAAGCAAACGTGCGAGACTTCTCGTCATAGATGATGCCAGCACCACGTGCTGTAAGAAACGTTAATATTTAAGAAAAATCAAAGATAAAGAAAGGAGTATTTGACTTTCTCATTGTGCCGTTTGCTGCAAGAATCTTKCGTTGGTTTTACGTATTGCTTACTATTACGCGCGTTGCATCGTCGACGAAGTCCAAGATATAAAGGTCCCCACAACATCTTCCGTCCAGATTTGTCACTGAATGAAATGTTGATGTACAGGTATACAATGCCTGTCATTTTACCAGTACAGGGAAACCATACACGGAATCCTGCGAAACAATGGCAACATAAGAAAGATGATAAAGAAGTAAACAAACAAAATTTGCGATAGTCAAATCGACGCAAAAGAAAAGTAATGCAATTACTAGAGCGTACTGTGATATCTATTTCATTYTTGTTCCATTCTAATCATAATTCTAATCGTTTTAAAATACAAACAGGGTAACTTACTCCGCGGTTTATAATACTGCGATTTTTTTTAGATTAATAATATTACGAACATCTTTAATGATAGACAACAACGAAAATTGCATCACTGAACCGTTTGCTTTTGCAAAGTTTAATTCACAAACCTTTAAGTTTTCTAATCGGATGCAAGAGGAAGCTTGCAATGCATGTATACATACAATTAACGTGTATTAAGAACAATTTGAGCATACCTTTGGTTTTTCTCGGTACGAATCCAGTTGTGGATATGCTAGCCCTAGGGTGCTTCATGATCGTTGTATTGCTAGACATAAACGACATCAGATACCTTACCTACAAAGTAAAACATGTTGTGAAATAATATGGAAATAAAAATCATAATTTATAAAACTCTTCAAACAAGCTTAAAATTAAAGACTGCCGAACATGTTGGTGTCGTTGAAACAATGGATACTGAAGAGAAGCAAAGCCAAATCTTTTTATCAATGATCCACCAATATGGCTACCATAGACCTTTTCTGAAATACAAAATCATAGTGTATTGTGGTCTAGCTTCAGCACAAACAACGCCATATTTGGCAGCATGAACAAATGATGTTTGTGCTGAACCTAGGCCACAATGCAATGTAAATTGTTATCTCAGAAAAGGCCTATGGCAAGGGTAGATGGGAAGTACGGCAATCAAATGTATTCTGCGATTCTGGATGTTCAACGCTGTAATGAATAAATCACATAATAGTCTTCTTGCACCATCTTGAAAGGTAGCTGTGGATTTGCGCATGCATCCAAGCGAGATGATACATTACTTTGAAGAAAATTATTCAGAGTGCATATTAGACATTGCTAGCTCGCCGATTGTCTAGCTTCGAGCAAAGGCACTGTTACTCTTTCGAGATGGAGCAGGGAAGTATAAAGGACACCATTTCCAATGAACACTTTCAGTCCCGCTTATGGTTTTGTCACATTCCGACAATCGTCTACTGAAATAAATTCTACCTACCCTTCCCCCACTTGAGTTGAATTTAAAGCGAATATCCTTGATTGACGGGACAATGGGCGGGACGAGAAGACCTAATGGCTTTTGCAACATAGGYGCCACTTTACTATCACGTACCAAATAAAGTGTGGAATCGATGTCTGAAAAAAAGAGGTTGATATTGCTTAAAAGTTTCATGTAGTTTTGACAAGACGATATTGTAAAAGACACTGAAAACTTCTCACATAGAAAAATGGCGACACATTGTGGCTCAATGAGAAACAAAAACGATAGAGTAGCCAATCAGAATGCGAGTTAGCTTGTAGGTTGTGATAATACAGGAAATAAATCTACATTTCATTGAAACAATAAGCTTCTTTCATRTCAAGGGGATGGACGATACGTGATCTTCATGAGACAGAGAGCCACACTCTCAAATCAAAGAGGTTCATTAATTGCGATAATTTCAATTTCCTGAAACAACACTTTTAATCTTCCGACAGTATTATCACAAGCTTCGCGAACGTGATATCATAGAATTAATACCAAAAACCCAGGCGAAAAAACATGAGAAAGATAAAGGTCACGCCAAAGGCATTTTTCATATAACCTAGACATGCCTAATGACACAATGCGCCATTTACAATATTGTGGGTGTCCTGTTTGGTTCCAGATTAGCTTATCAGTGAAACAGTCATCGAAATAGCCTTGGATTTAGGCTATCATAGTTTTGAAGAGGTTGTTAAAATCGTCCGAATAAATCAGATGGACAATAGGATGACAGCATACGATCAAAGGTCTTAAAATAGCAGACAGAGCCACTTGCAGTCTTAAGAGCTTTGGTATAACGGCCACCTACTGAGGCTCTCTAATCATCTTAGTGTGCTACTTTGAAGAGCTGTTTTTAAAGGTACTTATTTCATTGATTGGCAAACAATATGGTAAAATGCCTCACTTCATCGAAGACCTTCCTTTTTATTCGCCACAGAGTGACAGTTTATAGGACATCACTACATTACAATGGGGCCGGTATTTGCTAACTCAATGAAAATAATCAAAATCTCAAAGACTTAGCTAGGTCTGCGGACCAAGAGATGTCTTTCAGATTAAGGTTAATTTAGTTGTTTTTATTTATTTATTTGCTTTAGAATGAGTCCCTTTCAGATGTATTTTGTCATTTATTCTCAATTGCCTTTTAAACCCTAGAAAAAGAGAGTCTAACCACCCGAATCATCCCCTCTACCGGTGTAAATGTATTCTGACTATTATGACTTGTGACAACTTTTTTGCAATAATTGTCATGTTGCTTTTATAGATACATTATTTCACTTTAATGGTCAGTCACACTGTTAAGAAATCATTTTTGACAGATAACCTATGGCTGATCCAAGTGGAATTCCATGACTGAATAAGACCTGAATTGTGACCTTCATAAAAAGAACGTTTCAAATGAGCCCTTAGACGATCTCTTTTTTGTTAAAACAGTGATCAATTTCGTGAATTAAGTGGCTGTCTTTGCTTTACAGCTGTATTTCTTGTATGAAGATCCGAAACGACATCCAGCAAATATTCTAAATTACCTACTTAAACAGATAACGTAAATTAAATTCATGCTTACTGGCCTTGTAAAATCGAATTCACCTAATTCTTTACTGATGGTATCCTTGTCTTTGTACTAAATAAGCCTTGTAAGCTGGTCAATAATTTGTTTACTCTCCTCGGGAAGCTAGGGTACTTTACATGGCTTACTTTAAGGTATAAGACCATGTCATAAAACAATGTTGCTCTAATGAGTACAATGACCTATATACAAATTAAAAGTGCTTTTTATGAAACTATATAACCTATCAAATGTACAAATAAATAATAACTGAATTGATCATGTGCAAAAAATGTCACACACTTCATGCTACGTAGAAAACGTTGTCATTGGAAAGTCATACAGATTATCAGAAATACAAGCATAACATTTTTTCTAAATTCCGACCAACGCTATGAAGAAAAACACTCTAAAGCATTTATATAATTATGTTAAAATGACAATTATTGTGCTTCTAAAATCAACAGAACATACCGTACAGAAAGCGTGCCACCTCTTGGGCCTCAATGAATACATTCAAATGAGATGGACGTCTTTTTGACTCACAAATGCTCAATAAAAGCAGAACAGAAATGGCTTTTGAGATCATCTTAGGACGCAAACGAACTTTTAGGTTGTCCCACGTGTGTGTCGAAGTGCAATTAACTTTGTTATCTAACGAGATGAACGCATTAACTAATTTAAAGGAGATCACACCATAAATAAACGTCTTGACATTTGGAAAGAAATTATTAAGAGAAAAATCCCTATTAAGTAAACAAATCGACCCCAACCTAGTGAGAATTTCAATAGACTTGTCAAAACCTAAACATTCGGTCTTCTTTGAGGCCTTTGAACATGTAGAGATGTTATGTCTGGTGTGAGATTAGATAGGGTACTARTACACCGTTAAGAACATGATGATGTTCTGTTCAAAGAGCGCAAGATAAAAACTCGCAGTTAAACACTAAGGGAAACCACTTGCATATTCTATCAACTTTAACTACGACAACAGATAACGAAAACATTGTCTTAGAGGCTTTTGCACGTTCTAAAGATCTACAGCTATTGGAAGTGACGTCACAGGTGGTTTTTGTAAAGATTCAAAAGCGTGAAATTAACTTTGAGATTGTATCTTCTCAGGAAGTGCGTTTCGTGCGCTTTTGACATCAGATTCAAAATGACATCCGATGATCTTGTCCAAACTATTTGATAAGTCAAAGTAGTCAAATAAAGACTGACGCAAGCTAAGTGTTCATTAGTGGTGGACTGGACACAATTCTGATGAATAGTCCTTTTCGCGGTTGGAAAACAAGTTATGCGAGGGGCCTGTGGTTTTGCACCAAAGTGACTCAGAATCGGGCAACAATTTGTCCTTTTTGAGCTTGTTTATCTCACTTTTTGCAATGTCACGAAAATGATTTTTTTTGATTGCAAAAGTAATAATTTTGTCTCGACTTGGAACTTTTGCTCATTTGACGGCAGAAATATGTTGCCCGCCTTGTTTTTAACCGCGAAAAGGTCTATTGCTTTCGTGCTTATGATTACGTCATAAAGAACACAATACTAGCGATGCTAATAGTCTATTGGCATTTTATATCATGTTTGTTATGATTTTCTTTGTTACGTGGGCTTCCTGTGGAAGTTCACGTCTAAAAATGTCAGATTTACGTTTTTCCATTTTCTCTTGGTTTTTCTACTCGCGTCTTGGGGTCGCGAAAAATTGAAATTAGTCCTGGTGTCAGAGTCGCAACTGCTCTCTTGATAGGACCAAGCTATTCCGATAAATACCAAGTAATAACATGTTTTCCGTTCTTGACATCTGTGATGCTAAAAAAAATAATACAATTAATGAGACTAAACTGACAGAAGAAGACCCAAGTAGTTGGAAGCTCTAGACCGCAGACCAGCTCCAATGAGCTGATATCTTTAATTTTCATTTTAATGTCATTGTCCTTACGTGCTTCCACTTTTCTTTCTTCCCTTCTATCGAGTAGCCATAACSAAATGACTGCAAACTCCAAATAGCTTTTGCGCTTCACCTCTTCCAAAATGAACCCTCCTTTTCCAATGCATTTAATGTTATCAATGTCTACAATGATTATGACAAGTTTATTTCGAGAGTATATTAGCTACACCATTACATGAAGTAGAAATGCGGAATATACTAATTCAGTACAAATATTGTCAGAAAATCCAGTATATTTTGATACAAAATAGTGACACATAACCAGAACTGATTTACATTTCTTATGATATAAGTTTGAAATACAAAGGACTTGTGCACTAAAAGGTCACGTAACAATCTCTCCTCGCATACCAACTAAGAGCCAATTTTGATTATGTTAATTATGACTATCATGACTGGCATTTAAAATCACTTACGAAACACATAGCTCATTGTTTTGATAATTCAAACAACGCTGTTGTACTACGTACCCACAAACCTTTTCGGTCTCACAGTGCGTTAATTGAAGCAAGTGGCATCTCAACATGAGGAAAATCATTAGATGTTAGTGTGTTTTATACAACATTTATGACCATTTTAAACAAGAGTGTAGAGATACCTATTTATCAATTACAAGGTTCTTTTTATATTTCAAAATTATTCTATAAATTTAGGAGGGAGATGATATCACGTGACCTGTTATGCAATTCTTACACTAAATCGTTACTTTTGAAAAAAGTAGAAAGAAGTGTTACTTGTTTCTTGTCGCACTCAGAAATAACCAATCGGGAGGTTTACAGTCGTCCATTCCCACACATCACTGCATTTGAACTTCAAGACCTGATGACCGTACGTTATGGGGTGACAATTAGTAGCGCAAGCGGTGTTGCTTTTGGGACATGCGCTCAGCTTGGCTTTCAGAAGTATACTAGGCAGTCTGTTAGGATCTTTATCAATTGTCCAAATAAAGGGGCACCTTAAACTTTTTGTGTTTAATTTGTTTCTTGAAGCTGGAGCCCGAGAGGCTTTTCCTGTTGTAGGAGAGATCATCGCGTACATATTCGCGGTAAGGCGGTCTAGAATCTGGTTTGGTGTGGATGATGAAGAGAGTCCGATGCATTTGGCTAATGATGTGTACCTTGGCTGAGGCTTAGCGACTACTTTGTCGACGTGAGCAACCAAAAAAACGAGACAAAATCCCTACAAAACAATGTTAACATCAATATTACATCAAACATGTAATAAATGTGATGGTGGATGCATGAATTCACTATTACACACTAAGAAATGACAGGCTAAAGGAARGCATTAAATTGTTRTTATAAGTATGGTTTTCTCTCAGATACGCCTAATCTTCAAAATCAAAAAAGTCTTCAAATAGCTAACACTGATTTTTTTATTACATTCAAGTATATCTGCAATATAACGCTAGTTTAAAACAGAAACATCTTCCTTTCTCTATCAAAATCGTTCATTTTGTATATTTATGAAAATATTGATTATATTGATTAAACTTTTAAACAATACTGTATGGCAAATGACAAGCGTTGTTTCTGGGGTCACACAATAGAACATAGGTATAGAATTGAGCAAAGAAGATGAAATCGAAATATTATATACATGCATGGGACGTTAATACAATCTACGATGAGACGACGACCATATTCAAATGAAGGGCAATAAATAGCAATAAATCGATAGTATTATCTTTATATTTTCAGTCAGAAATAAATGCCATTACTTGAAATAACTATCACTATAACATAATCTAAAACTTCTCTTATATAGGGAAATTAAAATTGGGAAATCACAATCAAGACAGTGTTTAATTCTGACCGAGCTCTTTAGCACAGACTGGCTAATTAATTCCTATTTCACTATCTACTACTTATTTCTTTTGACTATTTTCAAATGGAAAACAGGTGTATATATTATGACATGTTTTTGACACACTTTAAGTTATTCACTGTAAAAAGCGTTCTAGAAAGTTCCGTTGAATAACGCTATGCAAATAATACTAGTATTGTTGTTATCATTTTAATACCGTTTGACTTCGAGCTTGATAGTGACACTTCCTTGTTTTTAATAACGAATAGCAACTTATACTGCTTAAATTCCTATTCCTATTCAAACATTTACAAAGTATATTATATACAGTGAATTGGAGAAATTCGGGCCTCTAACTTGATATATGAAATATATAGGGTTGTTGATAATTCAAATAAATAAACCCTACATTTGTCACAACTATAGATTATGCTTGAAAAGTCTGTGATTAATATGATCTTAAAATATTCGAATCACGAATGATTTGCGATCTGTTTTATCGAGAGAAAAAAAACACGAAAATCATATGAAATTACCCATAATGCTAATGTTAGCGGTCAAAATGTTTGCAAATGGCTGTATGTATAATATCTATGCTTACCAAAAGCTTAARAGACATCATTATTATTCCTGCGTACTTTTGGAGGAAGTGGCTGACAGCAAAGATATAAACGATACCTTTAGATTGTTAACTAGGTGCCTCGCACCTCCTTAAATACTACTAACTCATCTGACTCAAACGGAACGGGAACTGCACGACTCGTTGAATTAGCACATGAAAAAGTTCAGGGTACATGTATTTTTGGATTTAGCACGCTTATACGATGTCTTTTCACTGTGGTAGTCATAGCAACGGGAATGGTTTACGTAAAATATAGTAGTCTTAAAATAGATGTATCCAAATAGTGAACTTAAAAGCGTTTAAGAGGTCAGTTATTCAATTTTTCCGAGAATAGCATAATACTTAAGATCGTATATTTGCATTTGGGATGTTTCGATACTTCTTTAACCAACCAATCAGCGCTTAGTGTGCGTTTGACCTTGGAAAGAAACATTGTTACTACGAAATCACTAGCTTGAATAATTTCTATTATCTTAACAGGCAAAGAACTGAGGCTTTTCATAAGGGCTAAGAGAAAGATATTTTAAATCTCGCTGCTAAAAAAATTCAGAAAAATGAAATCGATATCTGTAACAGACAAAACAATGTAGTCGAAAGGAATGTGTGAATTTTAAGGTGTCATAAAAGCAATAATGATTCAAATTTTATAATGAAAACGCATCTTTTTTATAGAGAAATACGTTGTTCAAGTAACACATGTGGAGGTTGCTATGCCAGTGTTAATCGCTTCCGCATTTTTTGCTTGGTATCAAAGTACATTTTCTTTCATCTGACACTTTAGGTCATTGTGTATTTACGTTGGTAATCTGAAAATGTTTTAATTTGTTAAACATCTTCTATTTCATAAATATGATACAGCAAAAACATAAACTAGTATAAATTCCGCGTACTTCCGCCTTGTTTTTGCAAATTAAATTAATATACTCTCAGTTCCAATAGGTTTGATCTGATCGTTTTTCATTATCAAAGTATGAAAAATATCTTGTTCCTCGAAAGGTCAAAATACATCATTATGTAAGTCTATTCTCTTTACTTTTGTTTACTGTTGGTAAGGTTTGTTGTACAATCATGTTCTTATTTATGTTATATTTATCCGTATAAGCTGACGGTCTCATGGCGTGGCTGGATTGTCAAGGGATTTCAAGGGATAAACGTATCATTTTCCGTTTAGTTAAGAAGCATGGAGTGCGGTAATTTCCCGTGCGGAACTCCAAGGTAAGTAAATATTAAACAGATACAAAACATGAACATTTTTGCGCTGAAACCGCAAATGTAAACACTGCTATCGTGTAGGAAAGAGCTATCAATCATCCATGTTGTGCGGTTGTAAATTTAACGTTAACATGTAGCAATATTATATTTTTATTTCCGAAAAGTTTTAGACTTTTTCTTATCAAGGGTTTTTTATAAACCCTTAAAGAGCATATGACACGAAAACAGTTTTTTGTCCAATGAAAGAACGTTATTTGAAAACCCTAAATCTAAAATATTTTTCAATTCTGATAAAAACTTGCCAAGTTACAGCTATTTGAAATTAGCAATTTTCCCCTGATTTTTGTCCCATTTTGGGGGACTGGATACTAGCGTTGTGACGTCATTTTGTTGGCTTAGTATTCCTGCACTCCACAATCTTCTCTTTGCGCCAGTAAAACCTCTTTCGAATATATCGGATTGTGAGTCAGAAACTAGCGTCTTATTATGCAATACCGATGTGGATATAGAATAGTAAGAATCAGACGAAATTATGGCGATTCAGGATAAAAAAAGATAGCTAAAATAATGCTGAAGTGATGGACATAGAATCGCGGCACGGTATAACAGACCTGCATTGAAGACCCTTATGACTTATATAAACAAACTCTTGCTCGAAGAGAAGTGTATAAAACGAGATGTGAAAAGTATGCGTACACAAACTCGTCTCAAAAGATGTAAACAAAGAAACAGTAAGCTTAAGGCATGAGAGTCTAGCGGCGAACAGAACATGAACAGAAAATCGTTGTTGTTTAGAAGCTTTAAACTGTTCAAGGGAAATTAGTTTTCGATGGGTGTATAACCTCAATTCTGTAAACCAACACTTGGACTGTACTTGAAAATGCTGTGTATTGACTCAGATACACGAATTGTTCCTAACCGCTAAAAAATGTCTGCTTTAATACAATGAACCCGGCGACGCCAGCCCGTGTTTACACTATAAAGTTTTAGTAGCTTGAACACGATCGGATTTTGAAACGCTAAAAAAGGGTATTGTTAGTTGTAGTTATAAATTAACTATGGTTATAATAATTRTATAACTAGATTCARTAGCGGCGATGTAAAACATTCTTCTTTAAAATGTGCCGAGCACAACGATATGTTTTTCTTTTTCGGAGCTTTAAGTCCGCTTTGTGTAAACGGATGAGCTTTGTCCATTTTTCACGTAATCCTGGGTCGCTTGGAAATGGAAACATTGATATATCTGCAGTATAACTCTTATTTTTGCAGCTAATGTTGTTTCTATATCCTGCCACGCAATATCTGCCTTTGTATCTWCRATTTTTGAGAGTGGAACTGCTCACTTCGGCCGCCATCTTTGCATCTAACAGATCGCGAACCAACAAAATGACGTCATATGACGCGTTTGGCCGAGCGGAAAAAGAGGACAAATTTTGGGTGAAAAATCACAACTTTSAACGCTCATAACTTTGCGGCTTTTTATCAGATTTTTTTAAAACCCGAGATTTGGGGTTTTTGAATAGCGTTCTTTCAATGGACAAAAAACTGTTTTCATGTCATATGCTCTTTAACAGCGTTAGCATCTACAAGGTGTATTTTCAAATGCACTAGCTGCCCACAGTATTTAAAAGTACACCTTCTTTAGATTATTGAAATTATCAGTAACGGTGAAYGGCACACTAGATGAACATGGATAGGAAAAAAACTATTCCCGTTATACTTCCTGCATGCTGATTATGTCTTCTTATTAAAATACATCCARATATGTGGACGTGGCATTGAAGACGAATATTTCATATATTTTATACTCGTAACAGCCGCATAGCTCCATTTCACTATATTACTGATGTGATTGATATTATTAAAACGCATTTCCGATACCAATATGAACGGTTATTTATAGTGCCTACGAAGCCTGACAGAATGATTCTCTGATTCTCTGTGAACTGATTCTATRTAAGCTAATCGAATGGTGAAATATTCCTTCATTGCAGTGTTGCGTCTTTGTGTCTTTGATAATGACGTCKTGGCTGGCTTCATTAGATATACGAGCTTTGCAGCAGTCTCTCAAAAATGTTTTCAGAAACGCAATCTGGGAATATGCGTAGTCTTTACATTGCCTACGATAAATTTAATGCTATCTTCAAGCGACTACCTCAAAGCCTTCGATGACGTTATTGTCATTAGCATATTGTAAGATTGAAACTTCACAACTCAAAGACCAAACACTGAAATGATGGAATATTTCACCATTTCATTTAAGCAATAAGCAACACATTCCCGTACATTCCTGGTGAAATAAACCACGCGGGATGTTGGGAGAACACGAAAAAGGCGTAAAAAGTCTCGAGCCGGAGGCCGGAGGCTTATTTCACCAGGAACGCACGAAAATGTGTTGTTTATTGCTTTTATATTATAGCATTTTCTCATCCGTGCTTTTACCATTTGACYAAACAGAGAGCGCGTACTATGATAGCTATAATATAATATCTAGTTTATATAGAATCAGGTCACAGAGTCACCAATTRTTGTGTCATTCCTCATAGCAGAAGTACTTCTGCTCATAGGCATTTTATTGATTTTATGAACTAAGCGAACATGAATTAATGAACATCAAGCTTTGTGATTGGTTGATTAACATTTGTGACGTCATGGCTTACTTATTCCTCCTTGCACTTACAAACCCAATCTCGTACCCAGAGCCCGCACTTTTTTCATCCAGCGSAAGTAACTGTTTGCGGACAGACTCTGTATGATTGCGTCATTTCTTGATTCATGATTTGTGTTGACGCGATCGCGCAGTGTTTTCAAGTTGGATTTTCAATTCGCCAGTGCACACTTGCTTTCTTTGTCAAACTCATTATGACACATATTTTCTAACAGTTTGGCTTTGAGGATGGTGTAACTAACACAACTTCTAAATAAATTATTTGCTATTCTCTTTTTTACCTTTTTAGTACTCTTAACCCTTTTACCGCCGAAAAATTGTGGTTAAWTTTTTTTAAGGCAGAATGATTTAAAAATGATTTCGGGACTAATCTTAAGGTTGTCAAGGAAACAGCTGCTGTTCGTGATAACTGAAGGCTCACTTTTGCAAGGGTGCCTGTAAGATTTTTGCTCGTGGCTTTGACTAGCAATCAGCTCGTTCAAAACACAGGAAAAATCGGTTTTTAGGTGTTTTGGAAGTCAAGTTCTCGCACAAGAGCCCCTAGACTTGCATCATAAAGCTTGACTATTGTGGCAGAAGCGATCTTCTGGAAGAAATCAGAAGTGGGAAGCGATTTTACGAAGAAAATGGCGAGCAACCGTTGATTTGTGTAAAATGGCGCCATTTGAGTGAAGTCGTCTCCCTGGCTGTCTTKTGCTTGACTTCGCAACCTACCGTGTATATTTTTGCATGTTTTGGCTTCTAAAAAGAGGAATCTATACTTGAAATTTTCCTGGTATGAGCGAATGACTCGACASTTAAARAAAAWTTTAAAATGGAAGGTGTGGGGTACTTTCTGTCCAAAAAATTCACCGTTACCCAGAATTCTTTGCAAGCGAAGTTCAAGGAAACACTTGTCTCRTGGAATGGACCCTAAAGAAAGAGCTCTTTCTCGGCTTGTTCAATGAAACTGGTTACAAAAGACACATCAATGCAAAGTAGAAGGGCTGAACTTTCTTTCAAATGTTGTATTTTAGCATGATTGAGGGATTTTTTGCAGTAAAATTGAAAATATATTTAGCCTTTTTCTAGTGTTCTTGTCTAACGTCGAAAAGCGTGCAGTCAGATTTCGCCCTCAATTAAGGGACCACATTCACCACAAAGAAACCCTAGGTGCTTACTTTATGAATTAGCAGCTGTATAATTTCACGGACAACCCAACCAAAACATAATTAGTTCATTTGCTATGCAATTAATAGAATAATATTTTTTTAAAGAGAGGCATACGTCGACGTCGACAATGGCGGTGAAAGGGTTAACCAGACAACAAAATTGCCCTCATTTGCGACGGAAATACAGAAAGACCGCTGACATAAGACTTAAAGACTCTGGGCTTGAGATTCTTACAAACCTCCCTACTCCTCCCTGCTCCCTACTCACGCATCGCTTGTCTTCTCGGTCTCCCATGACTTTTTTCATTACTCAATACTCCATTTTTACAATTCCCAGCGCCATCTTGAAAGGTAGCCGTGCCTTTGAATCAAAGCGAGACAGTAGTTGGACTTGCAACGTAACATACCTGTGAATACAAACAAAAGGAATCTACCACTGCAGGCTTGGCTACCTTCAAGATGGAAGTTGAAACCTGTAAAATGGATTATTATCTATTAGTAGTTGGTATGGGTCAATTCAAGTCACCTATTGAAGGCAATTTTCAACGATTAACAATGAGTTTAATAACAAATGTTTCTTTAAATTACAATGCATGCATATCTGAAACGATAGCTCAATGTTTCTTCTTTTTATATAATAAACCAAGAAAAGGTTTTATTTTGAACATTTGGTTCTTGTTCCTAATTATTATCATGTCAATTGYTTTTGCCTCAACGCGTGTAAGATTCAACGTTTGAATCGGATCTTAGTCTCCTATGCAGACGCATCTCTATATAGTCTGTAAAGCAGGCGTTCCTTGCGAGGTGAGTGCGAAAGGATGCGACCAGAAAAGCCTCATTCTTTCCAATTCTTCTCGCTAGAAACACATACTACGAAGGCTAACGCGACCTAAAATTTTACTCCAYGACGATCGTCTGCGTAGGAGCCTATCTCTAAGACTAATTTTAAGCCTTAATAAACTCCCACATAGGCCACGGGGAGTCTCTTTTGCTTCATTTCCCATACTCCATCACACTTTTTCTCCAAAACCATCTGACTGTAAAACACTGGTTGACATGCCAGCGGGCTTTTACACTTTTTCGTCTTGCAGACCGCATACACAAGGGTTCTTGGTATCCTRTTTCCCTTCTCATCTTCTTCGAACGTGAATGGGCAGTGGGTTTCCTGTGGCAAGGATCGTCGGACAATTCTTGTAGGCATTGCTGTAGGTAGTGCTGGGCCTACAGTAATAAGGTTGTTCTGCAGGATGTATTTTAGTATTTGTCTCGGATGGTTGGTAGTTTTGGGCATCTGCAAACATTGTGACAATGAATTCATTGCTTTTGAGCGGGTGCTTGAGGATTGCTGAGTGTGGAACAAGAGWGAGAATAGTAGAATCTGCAAAATAAATATGGTTTTCAGCGATAAAGAATGACCAATCAAAAAGCAATTGAATTTGTTAGTATAAACGAAATGAGCGCGCACGCGCTATGGGCGCTATTTCATAAAGGTATGAAAGGCCCGTGTAATAAAGAAAACTGAATAGGAACCTACAATAGATCGATCGATATTATGCGCTTGCATTAGGCTTCCAAGCCTATCCTGCATGGAATAGTACTTCTTTTATGATATACATGCATGAATTCACAGTACTTTCTTTGTCAATCAACCTTCTTAGTAACCGTTAATATTAAGCTTAAAATTGCTTTGGAGCCGCTATCAGTACAAATAGAGGATTTTCTACATCAGGCCGGCAGGTTGCCTTACAAATGGGGAGGGTTGTTTTTTCATAATGCGGACCTAATTTGAATGTCTAATTAAATTAGTTCAATGTACAGGTATACGTAAGAACTGTCCTTGAGAACTGGCATCTATAGAATGAGCAGTTTATATATAACAAAAGAGAACAACAAAGAGAAACATCGGACCTTTTAAGCTTATCTTTGAAATTGTAAAATAATATAGAAAGCAAACACGGCAACAAAGGCAATAAATATAAAACCATAAAGTATTACTGGCTAGAAGCCTAGTTATATAAAGAAACAGTTGTACAATAAGATAAAAGTTATCACCGTAGAAAAAGTGGGTGAAAAAACCAGTTACTGACGCCCAGACGAAAGATTTTAAAACGTCCAAACGTCAGAAAGTTATTTCACCTACTTTTTAACGATGTTAAAATTTATCTTTTTACATAACTGTTTCTTTAGATATAGCTCATAGTAGTTTCCACCTAGTTAAATAAAGAAACATTCTTGGTAAACTTACCCAAAGTTGTATCATGCTTCTCATGTTTCTTTCTGATCCTGCCCACTTCTTGGCATCTAGTTGACATCCAATAACGTCGAAATGTAATTTAATCTCAGCTATGAAAGTCATCCTTTTATATTACCTAACTTCATAACAAAGTTGCTTATAGTATGAAAACTCAYAGGCGTTACACGATCCATGTATCCCCGTTCCATCTCACAGAGACGAAACTGCAGATCGTACACAGATGAAAGAAATGACGTCAAAATATATAAACGGGGAATCCCCTTACATTTTAAGCGATAATGAACATTTTACTTCCCTGTACTAGATATGCTTTTTAACGGTTAAAAAAACATCAAAATTCTCATATTATCAAAACGATGACTCGAGATTGAAACATTCTTTATGCTACAAGATCCAGATATTACAAATCTGAAAACCAACACACTTGGTTTATTTTGACGCTTTTTATAAAGTACGAAAATACGATAATTGTAAGCAATCAAACCATGAAATGCTAATTATAAACTATGKTTAGAATTTCTTTGTAYGCAGGCATAATTACTAAAAATAAATGAATCCTCTGCGTCTACTAGTGATATTTTTAWYACTGAGCTTTCGGCCTAAGCGGCCATTATCAAGGTAGAGTACGCGCGCTTTCCGTTTTTTGCGTTGTTTAAAATCTTACGTGTACTCTACCTTGATAATGGCTGCTTAGGCCGAAAGCTCGCTTTCCGTTTTTTKCGTTGTTTAAAATCTTACGTGTACTCTACCTTGTTAATGGCTGCTTAGGCCGAAAGCTCGCTTTCCGTTTTTTGCGTTGTTTAAAATCTTACGTGTACTCTACCTTGATAATGGCCGCTTAGGCCGAAAGCTCGGTATTAAAAATATCACTAGTAAACGCAGAGGATTCACTTATTTTTAGTAATTATAAACTGTTTAGAAACCGTAACTAATCACCATTTTTTAGAAGCACGACATATTGATATATGATGTCGCTAATTATTGAGGGGAAAACCCGTATGTATTTCCTATTCAGTTTCATGCACAATTTGGTCTATAACGGGTTATCACTCAAAGACCTTCCAGCCTTACTTTAATTGTTTCAAAACGTAATTCGAAAACTGATAAAAGTTATGTATATATGTACTGTGTAGAGATATCCCTCTAGGGCTCCTGGCTCCTGTCCGTCCGTCTTTTATTTTATTTCCTTTTTCAGTTTTCTTTTCCTTTCTTTTTGTTTCTTTTCTTTTTCTTTTTTTTTTAACATTGGTCTAATTACTATGCTATTTTTATTTTATTTCTTTTTTTTAATTTTCTTTTCTTATCCTTTCTTTTCGTTTCTTTTCTTTTTGTTTCTTTTCTTTTCTTTTCTTTTTTTTAACATTGGTCTAATTACTATGATAGACTATATGTCCGTCTGTCTTTTAATTTATTTCTTTTCTTTAATTTTCTTTTCTTTTCCTTTCTTTTCGTTTCTTTTCTTTTCTTTTTGTTTCTTTTCTTTTTCTTTTCTATTTTTTTAACATTGGTCTAATTACTATGCTATATGTCCGTCTGTCTTTTATCTTATTTCTTTTCCTTTTTTTCATTTCTTTTCTTTTCATTTTTTGACATTGGTCTAATTAATCTGCTATATTTTTCAGGTGAACGGGCCCTCTGTCATTTTTTAAGCCTTACATTATAATCAATAAACAGCGGGATGTGTAGCGGTTGTAAATTTGTCATATAAAAGCAGTAAATTTACGACATTTGCATAGACTCATTTTCATCCGTCTGTGAAATAGGAATTGTACTATTAAACACTATTACCCCCTATTAGATCCCAATAGTTTAACTTGTGACATGCGACAAACTAATTAGGCAAACACGGTTTTGATTTTGCCTTTGGTAGCCTACTACACCCTTATAGTTACTATTAAACACTGAGTAGTAGAGTGGTTTTCATTAACCCGTGAAACACACTTCAGCGTATTTATCGCTATAGACCCCTTGCAGYTCATGGGAATGCAGCTCCAACTGGAGGACAAAACAATAGATTCTAGTTCCCAAGAGGATAAAAATCTTTTGTTTTGTCCTCCAGATGAAGCTGTTTTGACGTCACATGCAAGGGGTCTATTACAATTTGGCTCTATTTTTATCGCTATTACACTTTGGCTCGTTTTTTTATTGTCTCTAAGCGACTATTACGATCCATTACACTCTAATTATTACACTTTGTTTCACGGGTTTATGAAAACCACTCTAATTGTTTTACAGACGGATGAAAATGACTCTATGAGTGTGATTTGTTGAAAATGCAAGATTAGTGAACCTCTTCAAATTCGCCAAATTATATACAAAAGTAATGACAAGTCGATGTAATTTCGCATTTTTGTCTGTTTTATTTATTATAAATTATACTACAAAATCTTTATCTATAAAATGAGGTCATTACACTAGTATTCATGTCGAATTGGACTTTCTGGAATTAAAAAAAGGTACACGCTATGAGTCAATATTTTCAGTTATAAATCAGGAAAGGAATCCGGTTCACTAAGAAAGAGCAAACTAAGTTCACTGCTCTTTGAGATTCTGAGTATTCGGAGTAGCGAGCGTTACAGAAACTGAAAAAAATAATAAAGAATTTATAGGACAAGCASCGTCGTCTAATTTAAAAAATAATGCTACTCGGCGAGTATGAAACCAAACAAATTCAAACGTAAAAATAAGACTTGTAACATTGTCTTTACTTCTAGTGATGAAGATGAATTTTCAGTAAGTGAAGTAGTGAATTGCCTTTTATGCACAAAATATAATAAGCGTGAGTACCAAATTGTAGACACAATATCGCAATATTTAATTTGTTAGGGTTATAAGACGATGCCAATAGAGCTTATTACACAATCACCTTCTATAAAATCACCATCATGCATAGAGCGGATTTCATGTGACTGTGTAAAGATTATAAAATGCATACTGTAGACAATTTCACTGAGTTTCTCCTGATATTGACGCCAAAAGAAAATACTCATCGATGTGTTTTTATACATACCATCATACCATCCGCTGTTTCGTAGCCGTCATATCATTGCGATCATATTATTCAGAAAGAAAATATATCAAAGATAAAATTAAAATTCGTAATACTAGCTAATCAGATAATACATTAGAGGATTCTTGTCAAACTACCATGAACATTTTAACGCTTTTTCTTTCCAAATGCTTGGCAAGGTTCTTAACCCTTAAAATACGTATGTGTTGATCGCTGCCGATATTGAAGACACGATATAAGTGTAGGTGTTCGCGTTGTTCTAAAGCAAACCTCAACTCTGGAATCGAGATTTCGAAATATTCCTTGTCCTCTGTTGAAGTAGATTTTACTTCAATATAATTGACGACATCGAGTCCACCAGTGTTGACACCAAGTGGTTTACTAGTAACTTGAATGTCAAACGGTGCGGTGGAATTTTCGTCTTTGTTCATCCAAATAATTTCCCGAATCACATTCTCCTGTGGTTCCTGCTGTATCAGATAATCATAAACAATTTTCTCTCCAGTACGTCCGACTTCAATTTTATCAGAGCTGTCATTCAAGGACACATTCAAAGGTAAAGTCGCTTCAATTTCACTGCAAAGTTCATCCAATTCTAGATCTTCTAATGCGATCTGAATACTGGGAGAAAAGACAGATGGCGAGTTTCCAGCACTTCTTGGTGTTGAGGTACTTAACTGCTGGATGACCGACGAACAACCAGGTAAGATGGTTCCATCTGACGGGTAAGGACTTGAGATTGGGTCAGGAGTAGCATCTGAGGAAAGGTTTTGGCTAGCATCAGCTGGAGCATCAATACAACTGTCTGGATCCAATTTGCCACTAGCTGGAGCTACGACAGCCGGATTTCTCGATCCGACAATCAGACTTTGATTAACACTTGCGACTCTAGGAAAGGTTGAAATTTGATGAGGTTCTTTGTTAGTTGCGCCAATCACTTCAGGATAGTTTTGTCTTCTGTTATCAGAATCTTCGATCTTTTTCTCGACCTCTGAGTGCTGACTACTAGCTGTTGAAATATAGGTCTGCAAGCGTGAGCCCTTAGGGTTTAATGGATCATTTCTCATTGATTCGGGAGCTTCAGGTTGTGTCCACAACTCTGCTTTTTTCTGTAGATTTTGCTGAAGTTGAGGAACGGCCGCTTTGACACCAGTGACTGAAGATCTTGGAGGCCAACAGTGCATCTCTCCGTCGCTTTCAGTTCGTACTTTTCTTTGGACAACAGGTGGCAAGAGGTCTTCAGGAATTTCAGTTTCCTGAGATGAAGGGATATCAGGTTCGGGAACACGCCATTCTACTTCATCTTTAGGTAAAACATCTACTTCTTGCTCTTCGAGAAAATTTTCTAGCCTATCATCAAGTTTGTTGCTGAGATTAGACAGGAAATTTTCAAAGTTGATAAAGTTGCCATCAATGAAGAGTTTAGTGATTGCTTTATTCAGACTATCGAAGCTCTTGGAATGTTGTTTTACGGCGTAGAAGTGCAAGGCTTTGCCAATACTTTCGGAGCCATACTTTATTTCTTGACCAACATTTACTTGAGCAAAACCTTTGGGTATAAATGTTATTCATTTAGAACTATAGTTCACAAATTTGATACATAGATAATTACATTTAGTATATAATTAAAAACTGTACAAACAACATTTATACACGATAATTAACATTTAAGAACGTTGCCTCTCTCTAACACCATGTTTAGTAAAGTATAGTACTATGATTGTTTGGGTAATTTTCGTTTAAATATACTAAAATATACTCTCGCTTATAGATAGTTTCAATTTAAGTTGAATGAAACACAGTTACCTTTTAAGCGATAGACCACCTCTAGCTTTTCCACAGTTGCAAATTTCATATCGGCCAGTGTATCCCCAAATGACTGTTCTTTGAGTTGTTTGTACCTTTCTTCCAAGTGAGAATACAAATATCTCTGGATGCACGGCACTACGTCATGGAAATACTTTTGTATTTCGTGGCACTGATATTCGACATTCTTCGGAGTCAATTCTTCTTCGACGATTTTACTAAGTGATTCAATCCCACAAGCTCTCAGGAAAACCTTCACGTCACTTTGCTTCTTTTCCTCTCCTTTTACTGTCCTGGATGTGCGTGACTTGGTCTTCATGGACGAACATCCCAGCGTGATAAAGTAAACATCTTTTTCTTTCTCAAATATTTTTTTGAGCTGCTTGCTGTCTGGTACAATTGGCTTGTCAGACAAGGTTACCCACTTCTCGCTACAGGGGAAAATTGCTTCTTGTTGCAGCTTGTTTCTAAGATATTCTGCCATATTTTGGTTGATTTGCATATCTTCATTCGTTGCAAAATCGGACGCTTCGTAGTTTGGTCTGTGTCGTTCATCAAGACATTTAACACCAAGAACAGCAAATATCGCAAAAATTGTCTCCACAACAGGAGGTGTTGGTAGAGCACTTTCCTCAGCAAGAACAGCCGCCATTTCGATATACTCATCGGTATGTGGAGTTGGGTCTACACCTAGGGTGAGTCTCAGGAAATCATGACTCTCCTTGTAATGAGGACTAAGAATCTGACGTTTTGGGGAATACTTTTTGGAACAGTGGAGTTTCTGCGTTACTTCTGAAGGATCGTTCCAGCAAACTTCTTTAATGGAATAAAACCTCCCCTCTACTCGCCTGTCGGCCATTTTGACGGTGTCTTTTGGTACGAAAAAAAGAGAATTCCTCCGGAAAGCGCCCTTTATTTCGGACCTCAAGACTTGGGAGTGCTGGCATTTGTCATGTAAAAATGAATAGATTCTCTTCATGTGTGACAGCGAAGTGTTAAAGACGCTATCTTGACATGCATCTGTCCTTGAATAAGGCGTCCTACTCGACCATTCCACAAGGTGTTGAAGTATATCCTCAGCAGAAACAGAGGATTCTAGTCCTATGGCTTTGACGAACGATTCATCTTCAAGCTTTGCATCAGCGTACAACACGTGCTCATCCAACAAGCAGCGGAGTTGTTCAGTATTGGAAAATAATTTCCTCGGAACTTGGCACTYAGATGACGAAGTAGCTGGGACCCAGTCCTCTTCTCGTAGATAGTGCAGAAACGATGACAACGTTTTCTGTAGCTCTCGCCCTTCCGTGTCTCTCACAGGAACACTATCAGCATAGCACGAATACTGATTTGTCCAAAGTTTGTCAAAGTTTTCAGCTATGATCTTTGCTTGTTTGGGGTCTTTATCAGTCCTCTGCATGAATTCTTCCAGCTCGCTACTATAGTAATCTTCAACAATGTAAGTACCATCTACAGTTTCAGGCCAATTCTTTTCATAAGACGACCAGGGTGATTTACCCTGAAATCATAAGGTCGCGTGATTGTTACTATTGATTGTTACAATTGTTACTATAATTTTTCCAATTATGTCTTATTTGTGTAAAATCTATAGTTACTTGTTTGTCACGTGAGGACTCTATTCTGAAAATTCCTTTCTTACCATGTTCATTTTCGTCAGAGTGACTGACTTTCGTTCAATTGCTATAAAATAGCAAACACCAAGAGCAGAAAAGAATTTATCCCAGTCTTTCGCTGTGACATTGTGATGTGTAGACAGTTGAAGATAGGAATCATCAACAAGTGTCCAGTTAATACCTTAGGAAGGAATAACATTTAAGAAGTTGAGTTTAGAAATGCATAAATACTGCTATTTCTTGCATGAAACTATACGTTTTATAGAGGTAGTGTCGCGGGTCAGGGTTGTATACGGAAAGCAGACGAGTCCATCATGGTAACGACGAAATTCAGACGACATGAATGCGAAGTTGTCGGAATAAGCCTTTTTCCAGTTCAATGAGTGCGACCGCTGTTTTAGTAGCCAACAGACTCACTTGCGTAGAGAACAAAAGAAAGCAAGAARAACATGTTGACATTAGCTCTAGAAATTTGAATCTTCTCCGATTTGAGGCTTAGAGTGTCGGAGAAAATGCAAATTTATTGTCTATTTTCGTGCTTTCTTTTGTTTTTGATAAGGTCTCTGCGCATGAGAGACTGTTGTCAACTAAAACAGCGGTTGCTCAATTTGAACGGGAAAAACATAGTAGTGCTTAACGATCTTAAAAAATGAATTAGAATAATATATAATTTGACAACCAATAGCTTAAATAATTACTTTTAAGTTCTGAGCGAAGGTCCAACTCGTAGCCATATTTTGGGGTGAAATGAACAGGGGTTTTTGACGGGTTAAGAGGTCCTTTGTTTGTCAAAACCTGGCAACAGTCTTTGAGTTCCTCCATTGAACAAATATCGTTGTTTGTCAAGCGTTGATCAAAAATGTACGTCAAATAACTTTTCAGTACAGTGGGAGACTTGTCCTTAAAGAAATATAATATGCATAAAATCTAGGAATAATCAATATATTATTTTATATAAATTAAACTGTTAAACTAAACAAAAACGCGGCCAGAAGAATGAAGGAAAAGAGAAGAAGGAAGGTAGAAGTGAAAAGGAAGTGTAAGAGGCAAACACGACATATAAGATATATAGATAAGAAATAAAAACGACACTGAACGCAAAAGACGATGTTCTTGAAATAGGGAACGAGGTAAAATTACCTTCCATTCGTCCGACTTGAAGGTGCGCAGTATATGATTATGTATGACGTCACTAGGCGTCCAACTCTTAACCCCAAGACGCGTAAGAAGTTTCTCCAGCTGGCTATGCCCAACGTTTTCAAGATGAGTCAAAAGTTCAGGATGCAGAACGGATAGATCACGTTGTAGATCTGCCAGGTATGAAACTTTGGCTTCTGAAATACAGTTCAGCGAATGTGTATTAGTAAAATATCTATCTCGACCGGCTTTATCCTAATGATGTAAAACATTAACATAATCGCCAAGTTTGGGCAATGCACCCAGACCTATTGACCTGAAGTTCATTCGGACTAAGACAAATGTTGACTACAGCAACGAGAATGCTCTCAGTAGTTCCACTGTTATTCAGATAAAATTTGTGTTCTCTTTTGGACTTGATGGACGTTTACATAATGTAGTAGGCAAACATTCTTGTAGGATTAGTATATAAAGCTATCGAGGAAATGTCTACTCCATGACTACTACACCAGAATGCCGTCTAACAAATAGAATGGAAATAGATAATTCAAGAATAGTTACTTACTCTTATTTTTAGATTTGGTAGTTTGATCGACGGAAAGTGGGAAAAACACCACGTGATCTTTGAGATTCACTAGTTTGTTGTCACTCAATGGGAAAATATCCATGGCTGCGATCTCATTCAAAATGTCAACACTGCTATTGTGCTCGCTTTCAAGACAGCGGTAAATACAATGTAGCCATTGAGCGATCCATTGAACATCATTAGATCTACTGGCATCAAGATCCTTAAGGACAGCATGACCAATGTCTATAACATGCCTTGCAGAGAGGGTCTGTACACCGAGTTTTGCTCTTAGTGCTGGATTAATACTGGAAGCAACTTCCTGTGCAAGGTAGTTGAGATTGAGATGCTTTCGGAGTACGTCGGGAGTGATGAATTCATGGACTTCTTGATCATCACAGACGACTACTGTACATGGCTGCATCCAGTCGTACTTTATGGGATCCCTGTTTAAAAAATGCAACATATAAAGAAAATAAATAAAATAGCAAATATACCATCAGGCGACTTAGTTATCAATCAGTCAACCGTCGATTAACTTTAATCAAGAAGTAGTGAGTTCTTGTAAAACTTTCCCCCTATTAATGCGAACACGCTTTTTACCTCTCACTGTCTTTATTGCCTTTCTTCTTTGCATTCGTTTCCTTCAATCTCACAGTTGGCAAGCATGGCATTCCTTGAAGATACTTGAGTATTGCCGAAGCGACAGGAGCAAAGAAGTCCAATATTTCCTCCTCTAAAGGAACAAACTGGAAGAACCTTGAAATGGACAACAATCCAGGAAAAGATGGATGATTCTGAGAAAAGAATGTAAAAAAATTCAAGACAGTCGTAAGACAAGAAAAGACGGGCAGGGAAGGGTATGGCCAGTGATTTGTGCAATCAATCTGGATACAGTCGATACCACTATTAAGGCCCTCCATTAAACGGTCATCCTTCAATAAAAGGTCGCTCATGAATATTCCATTTATACGTCTTGCTTCTCATAGGTGTATTTACTGTGAACGTGACCACTATTAAACGATCAACCTCTATTAAGCGACCACCTGGTATTTGAATATATAGTGACTTGGAAAGAAGAGTAATAAAATACCTTGAAGACCTCCAAGGCATCAATAAATAATTTAGGGATCTCTTCTCGGAGCCACTGGTTCCAGGCCTTGTCTCCGTCCACGTCTTCGCGTGAGGATGGCACTTCAAAGTCGCCCTGAATGATGAACTTAAACCCATAACTGCGTAAAGGAAGGTACGCAAAGACGTTTTGTGGGGGAAGTACCTGAAATTGAAACGTCACACTTTAGTATGTCAAGAATTACAAACCGGATATAAATTCGATGTTTCATTTTCTAGCGTTTTGTCCTGAGTTCAATTTTTATTTTATATGGCATAATTATTTGCGACAAAATACAAATGAGGTCAAATAAAAGATATGCCCCCTAACGAGCTCATTCGAGCCATGCCACGCTGTTTGACAAACAAAATTTCACTTCTTCTTCAAGCCATGTTTAGCCTCGAGTAAAAATGGAAACTTCATAGTCTTCTTCACGATTCCCTGCGCCATCTTCAAAGGTAGGCGTGCCTTTACATCGAAGCGAGACAACCGTTGAGCGTGCAATKATAGAAACCTTCTTTTACACCTACAGACAATTATTCACAGGTATCTATCATTGCACGCTTAACGGTTGTCTTGCTTCAATACAAAGACACGGCCACCTTTCAAGCTGATGCAGAGAACTGTAAGGGAGACTATTGAGCCAATGTTTCGACGATCTTACAATATAAATCAAAATAGCAGAACCCATGGATCCTTTCGGTCGTGCAATCGCTGTTCGACAAACTTCTTTGAAATAGGTATATACCACATTATCAAACTCATTAATAATTCATAATGTCATTAGCCAATGACATACTGAGAATCTAATCACGTGATTATACCTTTATATTGGACAAAACGTGCAGCAACCTCAAAGTTGGGGGCGGCATGATACAGAACTAATGTTTTATTAATTAAATGAGTGGGAACTAGCGGTAAACTAGTGTGAGCTGCGTCGGTGTTTCTAAAGAAACAGTTATGTAAAAAGATAAATTTAACACCGTAAAAAAGTATGTGGAAAAACTTACTGACGTTTCGGATGTTAATCCTTCGTCGGAGTAAAGAGAGAGAACTAGGT